CGTAGGTTAATAATATATTACACACGGCACGGCTTGTAATAAGGGTAACAGAAGAAAGAAAAAACATTTGAAAGGAACATTCTGAAAGGATACGTACCTTGATTGAAATCCTTTTATATGACCTATTGTAACCTGAGGAGCGTGGGTGTTTAGAAGTTAAAAAAAAGGTTTGTCGAATAGATTCTTTAGAGTAAAATTACAATGGAAAACTATTTAAAGTGTAAGCAAGTCCACATTTGTTATTACTCTTCGTTCATCGCTAAAATAATATACGAGAAAACTCAGACAGATTATAACTGAAGTGAAAAATGAAACAATATTTTGGCTTCTGTTCAAGTTGTGAAATTTTATCTGATATTCAGATCCACCATCCGTAACAAGATTTCTATTATGTATCATAACTAATGTAATAGAGGAAATAAGTGAAAACCCTAAAACGTAAATCCCGAACTACATTATGTATTTAGCTACGGTATGCTATATTTGAACCTAGGAGAGTTTTTAACCGTTAAACTGATGTTGAATAGATTGAGAAAATCTGAATTTTACAGAACTTTTTTTTTTGCAGCGTTCTACATTAGTGCAAGACTATCAGATCTAGACAAAAGTTTATCTAGGCATGTATATCATGTACATGGTGAAAAACAGACGGGTCCTTATTTCAATACTTCACTTGTTTACACTTAAAAATAATCACATTAGATTCCTCCGGCCCCGATACAAAATATTACAGATATGTGTACTCATTAATCATTTTGTATGAATTTATTTAGGCTCTGGCATACTCTAAAATAAGATACCAACGACATTCAAGCTATGTAACATATTTATACCCTAACCTATAGGCAGATGAACTTGTTATAGGTTGGTGTAGAAAACAAGAAAATATATTTTTTTTAAACATCAAATTATAACAAAATCACTAGATATTGCTTGATATTACAAATAGATATGGGTGAAAGAAGAACATGTCACAAGGCGTGCTGTGGCACAAATGGCCTCCCATACTTATATAATCACACAGGGTATTAAATGGCGTCTAAAATGCCCCCCCCCCCCCCCCTGATAGATTTTCTAAATCCGGCTTCGGGATGCCCTGCGTTTTGCCACCGAGAATGTGCATGCAAAATTTCAATGAAATAAAATGTCGGAAAGGAGGCAAATGGCGTTCTGAAGAAAAAAAATGACGTCATAGCCAATACCTCAGTATTATAATTGTCCTGGAAACCAATAGCACAAGTTTTGTTACCCTATATTAGTGTATCCACAAAAAAAAACATAGGCCTATTACCATCAATATAACTTGGGTGCTGGTGTGAGGAAATAGATTTTTAGGGGGAAAATTAGAAATTGATATCATCAATATAAAGAAAACAATTAGGAGATAGTGAGGCAATGGGGGTTTTGTCAGGATTTTGTCGGTAAAATTGCGCTGCCGTCGGGGAAAATGAGGAAAGGGGGAGGGACAAAATAATAGTGACAGATGCCCCTCAAATATAATTCAAACGTGGTTTATTTCTAATTTGATACCGGTGATTTACAAATGTTGCTGAATTTTCCGAGATTTTTCCTTAATCTTTAGTAAATTATACTTTTGTATGCGTTTTTTGAAAAATGAAAAAAAAATAGTGACCTGCCTTTGTCACAAAATAATGAGGTGTCAAAATTTGCTCATCTGACCGTCATTAAAAGCCTAAAACCCCCGAGTTTCCGGGGGCTCTGCCCCCTGGATTCCACCTATGGCCCTCTATAGCGGATACCTGGATGCTCATCTGACGGTAATTTAATGCCATTTTTGCCATTGTATTCCACAATTGAGAGTGGCTCACACAGTCAAATGCTTTGCTACAATCTATAAAGCACAATAGAGGGGATGTCTGTGTTCTCTGCATTTCTCTATTATGTTTCGAATGTTGACAATCTGTTCTCTTGTCCCTCTACCTTCACGGAACCCTGCTTGCTCATCTGAGATCTCGGCTTGCAGTTTGATTTTCACTCTTCTGCTGATCACCTTCAGAAGTATTTGAGTATCGTTCGGTGATTTGCATATTCTTTTAGATCTCCCTTCTCTGGCAATGGTATAAAAACAGCTCTACAGCAGTCCTTAGGCCACTTCCTACTATTCCAGATATTGCAACAGAGACGCCACATCAGGTCAATACCTTCTTCACCTATAGCCTTCACCCATGTTCATCTGACAGTAATTTAATGTATAAAACCCCTGAGCTTCTGGGGGCTACGCCCCCTGGACCCTACACCAATTTATGTCCTGCCAGTGTCACAAATAAGGTATCAAAATATGCTCATCTGACCGTAATTGAATTTCATTATTTTGTGTTGGCTGTGTGAGAATGCTAATAGGGGGCTGTTACCTATTTGCACTTTGAAAATGTGTCTTTTTTATATGGTGTTACCATGGAATTACACAAGATATGCTATATATATCTTATAGTCCTTTTTGTCTCCACTCAGTATTTTTTTACGGCTTGAGAATTGGGCCAATAATTGCGATACAGTGGTTATTTCTGTGAAGAGAGACAAGTGTTTGGTAATTGGTTATATTTTCTGAGTAACATGTTGTCCTATCATCAGAAACAAAAAATCGAACATAGATACAAACTATACAAAAATATATGCCCCCATTGCGATCATATATTTTGTCCGAAATTTCCTGTAGTGTCCGTAACGGTGTCATTCCTGCTATATGAAAATGTTTTCAAAGTTCTTATATACTTTGCTTAGGGGGTAAGAGGGGGTAAGAGGACACATTTTTTTTTTTTGTCTCGAAATTTGAAAATTTGACATTTTGCTCCGTTGGGGGGGCGGTAAGGTCAGCTTTTTTAGGTCAACCATGGGAATTTTTTTTTTTTTTTAAATTTTTTTTTTAATAAAAAAAAACAAACAAATAAACAAAATCCAAAAGGGGGGGGGGGGTTTACACACAAAAAATTACCAAAGGGGGGGGGGGGGGGGTTTAACCCCCAAACCCGCCCCCCTGTGTACGCGCCTGATAGTTTGTATCCGTTGCCCGAGTAAAGGAGGTTAATATTTGTTTTATATCCCATATCGGCAATAAGATCTATTTAAAGTGAATTTTACATAATTAAGAAAACTGATTCTGCAGACAGTTTAGCTTCAGCTAGATTTTACAAAGCACAACATGCATACATGTAATAAAGTTGATGCGCGCTCATTTTACATTGAAATTGACATTGACATTTCGCGTAACCTACTTTGATATGCGTATTCAATGGGCAAGTGGGGCAGCAGCAAAAAATTACTGTACAAATGTCCTATCGGAGGGAGATAGTACTCATCTATCATTGATCGTGTGACCTCGTTTAATCAGATTGCAAGATTCTTAGTATACGGGATATGATAAAAAAATAGACTCAGGTCGCTTTAGACATGATTACCAACATTTGTAATTTGTATATATATCTGAGGATTCCATGAATACTTGTTTAATTGACACCACAAACAACTATATCACCGAACATCTGAGGATTATTGAATAAACGTATCAGAAAAGCATCATTGATTATACCCTAATTTTGCATATACTGTACAGTGCGACCCAGAAAAAACGAAACCGAGAATTATCATAACTTAATCACTATTATAATTAATAAATGACACATATTTGTAAAGCTTAGATCCTCCTCTTACATTTGATGCAACCCATATGATGTATATTTCACGCATGAGTGATTAAAAGCAATTTGAAGGAAGGAAACCAAAAAGTCATTTGGCGGGCGGTATCTGAATTTCGAAGATAACAATTCACATTTCTAGAAAGTTCATTTTCTGCTCTTTCATATGACACCTCAATCAGGAAAAATGAGCAAGGAATAACAAAGTCCTGTTTGTTTAAAGTGATGCTTGCATTTCCATAATTTGATTAAACGAATTCGTTTTCACTGGCTGCCTGCCGTAGCAACAAACGGAATTGACAAAAGACTTAACTCCGTTTCGTTGACGATCAGACATGGACGAAAGACTTCAAGCATGGCTAAATTTGTCAATGAAACGGAGTTACGTATATTAGACGATGAGATATTTCATAATTCATATGTAAATCCCATCAAAGGGGGTGTCCTCAAAAGATGGTATTTTTCCATAGTCCTTGGGAGACAGTACTTTACACATACTGGTGTGTGCGCAAGTCAGGCGCGTACCCAGACTGGGAGGGGGGTGGGGGGTGGTGGGGTTAAGCCCTCCCTCAATCTGTATAAAAAAAAAAAAGTAATAATAATAATAAAAAAAATAAAAATTATGTGTGCTTAAAGGGTGAAGAAAAAAATTCAGACAAACCCCTCCTCCCCCCGTCCCAACTGAACAAAATATCGGTAGGCCTAATTTTCCAATTGTCGAGACCAGCATGCATGCTCTAGAATTGTGCAATTTATTAACATTGGAAGAATGTAGAATATAATAGAAGAATATAATATAACGCTGTATTTTCACCATTATGATGTATTTTTACCTTGTAAATGACCATGCAATTCAGCTTCGGCTGCAAGAACATCATTTTAAATAAACCCTTTTTGAATTGAATTGAATTGAAATGTAATTAGATAACTTTGTAACAAATGTTTTGTCTATTCACTTCCTTTTTACTCGCTTTTTTCACCTTTTAGTGTTCTGAGATATTGAAGTGAAAAGCAGGTGGTATCAAACTAAATTGCCCGACAGATTTATACATTTTGAAGCTGTGTTTCAGGAAACTTTGTAGGCCAATTTCATACTTTGATTATATTTGTTGTTTAGATAAAACGCAGACCTATCTAAGAATCTGACAGACATTGCAGAGAGGCATTGATCAAATACAGAGAATTCATGAAATTTATCTGGAATAAATGTAATGTAAAACAATTACCATGCTTTTCTTGGTAGCCATCAGTCTATTTCATCATTACATTGTTAAACTGTGGGCAACTATGGTGGTACATACAATGTTCAAGAACAAGTATAACAGAAACAAGGAGAGTTTGAAGTTATTTTGAACAATTATATATTTATAAACTTTCACAAAGAATTCTAGTCCATAAATAAATATAATCTTATTTACACTTGACAGCTTCAAAAAGGTGCCTCATAAATTGAACTGGACATTTTTTCTTCACAAGAAGAATGAAGTATTCAAATATTTTATTGACAATTAAAACTATTGCCTAAGATAATCTTAAAACTGTAGTTCCCCAAAACAAAGTCGAGGGGCATAGTACAGCCTCTTAATCAATGAGGAGGGATAGTTCTAAATGTGGTCTGAACAATAAGCAGTCAATGCCTGTTTTATATCCCTCATTCCAAATGTCAATTATTAAGAGATATATTAACAAAATAAATTTGTTTGTAGAGTCAAAGGAAATTTATCCGACTAGGAGCATTATGCTTTTCTCACTGCACTTATCCATTGTTTACTTCACATGCAATCATTGTGTCTTTGCATTGCACATATTATATCCCCTATTCTTGATCTGTTCATGTTTGTTTGTTTATATCATGTTGGTAATTTGGTTACACTAGTTCAAAGGTAAACAAATAAGTTTGTGAGGTAACAGAAGTTGTTCATGGTTTAACATTGTATATGGGGGCTTTCAGATTGCGGATCATCATGAAATAAAACAGTTGGTTTTTGCAATATGGTTTCCTTGATAGGCTGACTTTCAGAACATTTTTTCAATTCTTCAATTCAAAGACTTTGTACTTAGATGAGTTGATGCTTTCAAATCAGTGTTTACACTGAATGCCACCATTCAAATACATGTAACTTGTTGTCATAAGCGGAGCTGAATTTATGAGAAAAGGAACCATATCTAAGAAACTCATTGGGACCAAATTACATTGATATCTATTAAACACTTATTTTCATAGATATCCACATCAGTAGGTTGAATAATTTAACATTGTATTAGGGTCATTGTTAATTCTGAATGGGCTTAGGTTTTATGGAAATTGTAAATATCATTGTATGTCTGATGTCATTTACTTTGATGTTGATTTAACAACTGCATTATATGCATCAAGGTGAACAATTTCAAGGTATTTGATGGTGCAAAAGTACTGATAATTTTGTATAAAATGACAATGAAACATCCCTCCTAAGTATCAAAGGATCTTGAATTCTGTGTCATATTCTTCTGCAATTTCATCATCAGTTTTCTCCTCTATATGGAGTTTTCTCCACCATGGTTGTCGTAGGAGCAAGAGTTCCTCTCTGTGATTTGATAGAGCCTTTGCTGCGATGGGTGCTGAGTGGCTGGTGAAAGTGTAGACGTCACGGTTGCTTGCATCCTCCAGCTTTGGTGCATCTGAAGAAAAGAGTGGCGGTGAATACATGAGTACTGTGAGTTTGGGTTTATAATGGTGACAATATTGATGGACCTCCCCCAGATGAAATCATGGCCTGTCTTTAAACCAATGCAGAGCTGCCAATCTCAACTGAACAAAAATCCTATTATTTTCCCAAAAAAAATCCTATTTTCAAAATAAAAATCCTATTTTTGATCGATAAGCACTTTCTCACTGCGGAAATGCGTATTTTTTTTTGGGGGGGGGGGGAGGAGTTCCAATTTGCATAAGTTCCTACATACAGGAAGAAATTTTTTAATGGACGAATGGATAAGCATGATTTCGTCATGACTGATATGTTTGATGAACCAATGAACATTCCCAAATTGCCGATGTGAGATGCTTGTAGGATACTTTACGAGAGAATGAGCTATTTGCCATTGAAAATGGCACACAAACACACACACACACAAAAAAAAAATTATTTAAAAAAAAAGGAAGGAAAAAAAAAAAAAAAAAAATCATTTTGTTTTTGTTTTTTTGTTGTTGTTGTTGTTGAAAATCGTATTTTTCGAGGAAAATTCGTACTGACGTTGTTAGTTCTAAAAATCGTACAAAATACGATAAAAACGTACTGGTTGGCAGCTCTGCCAATGCATCAACCAGTGGGAAAGCCTAGCAAATGTAATTTTGAATGCCAGTGCACATTAGTAAATTGGACTTTACCATATTTCCTCATCTCTCAATGGTTATGCAGCCAGAAAAGCTTGTGTGTTAACTGCATTACACATCTAACATATTGTAATCCAACACCTGCTATGATGAAATTTGCTCCAGCTTTCAGGGAATAATTTTATCAAAGAAATGGAGTTTGGGTATAGCTAAGGGTCCATGGTTGAAAAAAATGGAATGTGGGTGGTAGAAATTGACTATGAAGAAACTGTCATCAGACCATTTGTCTTAAAATACACGATATTCTGGAAATTCCTATGAAATCCCTATTAATAGATTAAATAAGTTTTCTCTGAATGATCAGCATTCCTCGGGATCTTAAAGTTGAGATTTTCATCTACTAGTGCATATTTGATATCAATGAGCTACTCACTTGTTAACAAGTCAGCATCTGTTTCAAGCGAGGCAAGAAGTGCTTCTCTCTTTTGGTAGGTCTTCCTCTGTTTCCCTCTGAATGCAAAGTATCTGAGCAGCATCTCCTGAGCTTGTTTATGTAGCTCTTCTTGGGCTTCTCGGTTACGTTCTTTAGGCTGAAACAAGGAAAATAAGAAGATTCTGGAAATTTAACATTTTATCCACATAATATAGACATTTCAACAAAAGCATTTTTTTTTGGCGATTTTATGCTGGAAGCTCAAGGGTCATCTGTCCTGTCAGCAACTTTAAATTTGTTCCTAGTATTCTATCTTATGCCACATTAAAATATCAGACAATCTACTTGTTCACTGTAAATCCCCATAGATGGACCAGCTAAATCTGCTATTTACCTTAAAATGATCTCAACTTGATAACAATACCTTGAATAATGGTGCACAGAAGGGCAAAAGAAAGAATAAATATATAAATAAAAATCTCTAAAAAAAAACGTACCGTTCCTTTGTTCCGTTTCTCATCAATGACCTTCTGCAGTTCCACCCGTCTATCATCATCCAGGCCAGGGGGTGGTTGCCATAGCAATGGCTCCTTCTTCTTTTCCTCTTGCTTCTTGAGAAATCTCCTTGCCTGAAAAAATGAAATGCACAAAAAGTTAACATTATACAGGACATCCTATAAAAAAAGCAGCAAAATAAGACAAGCAATGACAACATTATGACAAAATGAGTTAAAATCATCAATTAAATCGAATTGGTTTATTTTAAAGATGTTTTACAAAGTAATCAGATATTTACATTATAATACAAACATCAAAATACAAAAGCAATATAACATATATAGTAATGGTAACATCACACAGCAATATTACAAAAGATTTAGAAAATTTATTGAAGAAGTGGATAAGCAGTTATCAAAATAATTAAGGCGATGTCATTTTGACATTCAAGAATAAAAGGATTCAAGAATCAATAATATGGAAAATTTGAAGGTTAACTGGGTAATTTGGAATTATGGTAGTACATGAATAAGTTATCTGGGGTAGTCTTAGTAGTTTTCTGGGGGTAATAACCTTAGTGGGGTAGAGATTCTAGAAATTGTTTGTGGGTAGTTTTACTGGGTATATTTTCCTTATATATACTTGTTGGGTGGGTAAGGGGTACAGGGTGATAGTTGTCTTAATGTTATGGAGCTCTCACACTCTGCTGTGTAGGCCTACCGTCCACCTGCCGGGCTATTAAAAAAACAACAGAGTCCAGAACGTTGGGTTTTGAGCGAACTTGTCCCCGGCCGCAAAAAAAAAATCATAAGATTAATCTTTTCACCGTTTCGTTGCCATCTTCTGACCGTTCTCACCGGGCGCATACCGGGTGTTGAATGTGCTTCTACCGTCTTCACCGCCCAGATTGACTTTTGTTGAAAATTTTGGCCGTTTCCATACCGGGCCCATACCGGGTCTCGAACGTGTGCACCGGGTTTGTAGCAGCCACCTACCAGTCAGTTAGCGTCCCCTCACCGCTCGGAGCGTCCTGTGAGCGAGTCCCCGGACTGCTGACGTCATGACACGACTGCCATAAATACCCCGATTTGAACGGCAATGGTCAGTCCGCTCTCCAATTTTCATCACCGTTCTGTAACGGGTTATGAGCGTGTTGTGAACGTGTTCATACAGTGTGACCGTTTTCATAACGTATTCATACCGTCCTCATACCGTTCAACACCGTCCTCTTGCCGCTTACTTGCGGCTGGTGCCAGCCGGCCAAAGTTTTGAACATGCCCAAAACTTTCGCCGGGTCCCACCGGGTGTAAATCAGCGCCAACGCCCTATTAACGTGTTGCCCGCTTTGATAACGAACCACCGTGTGCCCTCGCCGTTCTCCACCGTCCGCAGACATTTTCGCGCACGGTGGCACACGGTAGGCCTACACGGCAGAGTGTGAGAGTCACTTTAAACTGATGCCAAAATGTGTATGATAGTATCTTGCTATCATCATCAAATTTATTCAGTAATATATCATTCACAGTGTCCCAACAGAGTTTTTTTTTTAAAATAAAGATAAAACATATAGGCTATGCTTACATGTCTTTGGATGGTGATTGCAGCTTTGACTTGCCGAGCTGTAGCTTTCCTTAGACCTAGCTTACGTCTCTCTAGTACTCCCCTCCATCTTGCCTGGATCCTGATGGCACATTGGATCTGAGACATTGCTAGGTACTTGTTAACATCACCTTGAAAAGTAATAATCACATCAGACATGTAGATTAATAAGTGTAAATCAATGTTTATTTTTACAGATATGCAGCATATCTTCACACCAGATTTGATGAATGTTCCAAAATTCATATCAAAATCCCATTGGGGCTGGGGAGACTATTGCTGCAGTAGTTTTTATTAATATACAATGACTCTGAAGTTCAATTAGAATATAACTAGTCTTCCAATGCCAAATTTATATTTAAAAAAAATCAATTAATAGGTTACATGCAACATTGAAGAAAAACTGCTGCAAAGAGTGCACAAAATATGCATTAGGAGAATGCAGGATTGAATGAATGATTAAATTAAGTAGCAATTACAATCTTTAGGTAATAAAAGTGTTTGGCATTTAATGTTGAGAGGGTATGACTCACCCATACCTGGGACAATATCGTATTTGAGGAATAGTGATTTGTAACTGAATTCACGCTTGCATTGAGAACAGTGGTGATCGCGGCCTGTGTGACACACAACCTTCGCATCATTTATCGTCTACAAGTTTAGGTGGGACTCAAACCTACAGGTTGTGGGATGATATGATCTTTTCAGAGGCAGATGGTGTACTGAATGAGCCACCTTGTTCATGCATCATTAGAATAACTCACCTGGAGGCATAGCACTGATCATATCCAGCTGTTTCTGTCTGGTTTCTCTGATAGCTTTTCTCCTTGCCATCAGGAGCTGATGCTCCAGCTCCTTCTGTTCTCTCTCATACTCCTGGATCCGTGACTTCTCCACCTTCTTTGCCCTGAATTAAACAAGAAAGTTTCAAGATTGAATTCTTACTACTCATGCCAGCCAACTTAATATCTACACAATATTGCTATGGAGTTTAAGAGAAGCCTTTTCCCTCCTGTTCTTAGCATCCATGCAGGTTTATTCATAACTTACTTTTGTCTAAATACCCCCCCCCCCCCCATCATTTTTAGTATTTTGGTATTCCATATTGTCATTTATTTATTTATTTTATTTTCAAACATCAGTACATATTCTCTGCAAAAAACTAAGAAAGTATCAGAAAAACATGATAAGACTAACATACAATAAATTAAATGAATCTAATATATTGAAAAAAATGTTCCCAATCTATATTTTCTAAACAAGGTCGTTCATGGACTCACAATAATTAAATGTATACAAAGTTATGCTTCAAGTAAGTCACTGACAAATAATTCCAGTAAATAATACTTTCTTCTTGAAATGTCATAAAATCAGGAACTGACTAATCTTTCTACCTGCATTCATTGGGAATAATGTTCTGGTATTATCTTTTAAGACTGAAATCAGAACCATCATTTCTGTTTTTTCCATAAACTACTAACCTGTAGGATCTTTGAAGTGTGGCTAGTCCCCTGTTGGCTTTCTTGAGTTTCTTCCTCTGCAAGAATCCTTTCCATATTGCTTGGATGGTCGTTGCTGCTCTGTGCAATCTCTGTGGATATGCAAGGTCAGTTTACAAGGGCAACCAAAATTAATATGGTGAAGTTCATCCAAGCTTAAGATCTATATTTGAAACTGTATGCATTTCTAGGTGATTTTCAGTCACATATGTCGTAGAGGCATTACAATATTCTTGGAATAGCATAATGTCTAGATATCGACATAAACAGAAATAAATAACCAAAAATATAAATGCACTAATACAAGTCCAAGATGAGCAAGCATTCTTTGCTGCAGTGCAGACAGTAAACACAGAAGTTTATCATTCAGATTTGTTCATTGGATGATCATCATAATAGAAGATACTAAATTGAAGAATTATCTATTGAATTACCCACTGAAAATGTCCATGTTTAATTCAAGCAATTTATGCATGTAATGAAAACCAGCAATGAAGAAATGACTTCAGTTTCTCAGACTCTAGCTTTTAAAAAAAATGAATTCTACACACAAATTCAACACAATTTTTCCCCTTATCAACTTCTGATTTGAACTCACGTGAAGTTCAGCTTGTTGAGCTGATCCTGCATCAAGTAAGGCAAGAAGCCTCTTAAGATCTCGCCCAAACCCTCTTCCAGTCCATCGACTTAATAAGGGTCTCAATCCCCTGGTTAAAGTGAGAAAATAAACAAGAGTACATCAGACGAGTTAAGTGTATTTTGGATAACTAAGAAAAATCCATCAACGGCCCTTTCAGAGCTATTGATCTTGAGAGGCATAAGAGGAATCATCCCAGTTTTAAGGTTATTGGTGTACCAAATTTTCAGCCTATATCATGAACCATTGATATTTCAATTCTAGCATCAAGTTAAGCAATACTTTTCATGAAGAAACATTTAGTTTAGTTCCATATGTCTCAAAATATTGTAGGGGGAAATGTGTAGCATATATATAATATGAAATATACGTCATGCATCAATATATTCTATACTAATGAGGCTATCTTTGTTCTGTTCTTTATGTCCGTCTGACTGTTTGTCCATGTGTGTGTGTCACTCTCCGTCCCCCTCCTCCACCCTCCCCCTGCTCTTTCTCAATTTACTCCCTCTCATTACCTCTTAAGCTTTTTTTCTCTTCATCTCTCTCTATTTACCTCCCAGTTTATTTTCTGGTCACCCTTCTCTCAGAGAAGTCATATCAAAAGCTACCTACTTGTATCTTGTATAGAGCAATCTGATGAGAGGAGTGTGGACATCTGCTATGTTAACGAGTGCCCTTGTTGCTGCAGCACCAATCTCTGCATCATTGAATGCTGACAGTTTGAATATGATCTCATCTAGCACACTGTGAACCACTTTTTCATCCAGTGTATTCAAGACCAAACTGTATGAAAGAAATATAGAGGCAAAAATGTTCTTTGAGTATCAATTTGAAAGATTAAAATTTGTATTACCGTACCGATAGTCCTCCAACAGCATGTAAATGGGGAAAGGTGTATTTATACAAACAACAAAAATTCTTAGAAGTAATTTCACTTCATATAGCCTGTGCTGGTTGTATGATAAATATGAATATGTAAAAAAGAATTGCATAATTCAATAGGCAAAGTTAACTTTTGTATTCATAAATCTGTGTTTTAAATTGATCAAAATAATGATAATACAGAAAAGGACAAAGTATTTTAATCAGCATTATTTTCAAACGTTTAAGGAGATGAACTTTACATAGGTGTTTGATGTTAGATTTATGATAAACTCTCCTCGCACTCACTCCATGTTACATCTAATTTCAGACGATTATATTCTGAAGAATCTGATCACTTACGAATTGACTCTGACAGCACTTTGTACCATCCCAAGAAGAATGATACTTGTCTCTCTGTCATCAGTTATTAACATCTGCAGGAGATAGTTAGATCTCAAAACTGCAAAGTAACAGAGCAAAGAAAAATATATAAGAACAAGAGAGTAATTTAATTAGAAATTCTACTAGTTCTGTCTCTAGATTGCCAAATAGTGGTCACTTGGGACTACCCGCAATAAAAAATGTACTTTGTAAAGTAATTGATCAATGGGTGGTTTTAGGAATGAAGAAAAAATTGTAAAGTTTGAAATACATCCCTCCACAGAATCAACCGACCCTCATCATATCTCACTTCCAAATACTCAAATTCAAAGCACCATATTATACAAGGACTCATTTGCTGATAAATTGTATATCTTCATTCATTATTACCCAATGCAGAATTACATCTTGCCCATTTACAAATTTATACAAAAAATTACTTGCCATTTGTAGTCAGAAATAAGTGACCACTGTAGAGCCACTGCAATGAGTCAACGACTTCCTTGAAATTCTTGATGAGATCATCTTTGAGGGTCAATGTCTTCTCTGGAATCTTGCAGTATCTGTGCTGTATGTTACGTGAGAGGATGAGAAGACGTTCGGCAGCATCGGGCAAGAAGAGGGCATGGAACTCATGGGAGTCTGGTGGATCAAGACCAACTGAACAATGGCTGATTGAGAAAGTACCAGTTAACAAAAGAAGGGGATTATTAGACATTAAGTATGTTTTTGATATCACAACTTTACATTGCCAATGCCTTGCATTGTATTCCTTACAACAATTTCTACATTAATCTTTAGGTAATAAAGTTTGACTTTTATCTCTACCCTCCAACTGTCTTGCACCTGTAATTTTGAATATTTGAACTTCTTTCATTTTAAAAAGTATAAAAGTGGAGGTTGTAATAAGTAATAAATGAACAAATGTGTGATGAATATTCAGCCAGGGTCTTAATCATCAATTTTGGATGCTACATCTGAGAAACTAATTAACCTTGACAAAATAAATTAGAGTAAAATAATATTGGTATTTCTCAGCTGATGATAACTTTAACATTCAAATTATTAACTCTCACTGCCCTATAACATGTAGATTATTAACTTGGAGATAAAAATCTGAGAGAGTACAGAGGAAACTTTGGGTGTGAAAGAAAACAAAAGGTACAAGTACAACTTGAGTTAAACATACATAAACTAATGGAAGAGGTCTGTTTGGCTTTGCAAGACCAATAGAGTCACTTACGCTAAGATTTTAGCCAGTGCAGCGGCAGTATTCCATTTGCCATTGATGAGGGAGAAGTCTTGTTTGAGAGCCAGAAGGACGCTCTGTAGAAGTTCAAAGTTCCAGATGTCTTTCTTGATCTTGTCAGCCCTCTGTGATCCAGGCACCACACTGTCAAGAATATCTGGCAAACAAGATTAATGAACTCCATTAACAGAGAATTAAAGTAGACGGAAAGATTTTAATTAGTTACATAAAATGCAGTGTTGGTCTCTCAGATGAAAAGGTGAATGATTCCATTTCATTCATTCATTCATCTTCTGTTGATACACCTGTGATGCGAGTCTGTGGATAAAACATTTTTGTTTTACATTTTTCATAAACCGGGAGATTCTACATCGTTTGCGGGAGACTGGGGAGAGCAGGAGGAAGGACGTGGTGGCGGGAGTCTCCTGCTACAACTTATGAGCTGGTGGGATGACAAGAGAATGAGCTTGGTGATGGTCAGATGGTGGAGTGAGACTCCGTCCAAATGCGGGAGGGTTGTCAGTATTGCTATGGACTATGGTCACATTACCCAAAAGTAGGCTGCTCGGCAGCCGAGCGGTGAGTTTTTAACAAATTCTGCACGGCAGCTGCCCGGCCACCAAGCGGCGGCCGCCCAGGCACTGCTCGTTTTTAGGGCATAGCTCGGTCGCCGCTGAAGTTTTAGCGCAGAGTTAAAATTTGGGCGGCGCCTGCTCATTTTTCACTCGCCGCCCAAAATACGCTCGGTGCCTGGGCGGTCGCCGCCCGGGCACCGACCTAACTGCTGGGCGATGCTTAATTCCAGCAGCGACCGAGCAGGCTACTGATCGGTCGGTCGCTGCTCTGATTTGTGACCATAACCATAGCTTAAGTTGTCAACCCTGACAAACCTTACAATTTTGTTAATATGTCGGACTACAAATAATTATAAATCGAAGATGCCGCCGATCCGTCGTGAAAAACAATGTTACCTTGTAGGGCGAGTAGTAGATTCGGAACATTCTTATCCGTTGTCTCTGCTAGATGTGAAGCCAAATCTTCAACTCTTTTGTCTTCAAGCGGATCATTTGATGCCATCATGAAGAAAAACACTGACAAAAATCTGCGAAATTCAAAAGTGATGTGCTTGGCGACGCTTGGCAGAAATCAGCCGACTGCTTATTCTTCTAATTCGCTTCGTCGATCATTGTAATGTCGTATTAAATGAGTTCAATTTTTTTAATGTAGTAGTGATTTTATATTTTTATACTGGCTAAAGAAACAAAAAAAATAGTTTTTAGGAACAACACAAAATTTTGACTTATTTCAAAATTTAACAGATGACTCAAAACCATATATCTCTATGCTCAAAACTTTGTTTTTAAGATTTTTTATGTTGGCAATGCCACCTTTTCAATTCCGCTTATCGTTCGCTTAGCTCATCCACTTACAATTTATTATGCAACCATCCTAATGACTAGACGACGCTATATTGGGACCGTGAGTGTGCCGTGCTGCTCCAGAAGAGGTGATTTTGCGTTGGCTCCTTTTAATATTATATAGCGAGTAAGTTCCACCAAATCTGTTGTTTTATCTTCGCACCCTAGAATGAATGTTTAATGTAATGAGGAATGTGCGAACAATTAACATTTTCTGGGTCATCGGAGCTGAGCGTTGAGATTTGGTTTCGGCTAGCCCCTAGCCGCCCCGCTCGCGCTCAACTCCCCGCTCCGATCGTGTTCGTGGGGTTGAGATTAGGGCGCTTGTTCAAAAAGGTATCCAAAATTTGACACCTAACTCCGGCGTGGAGATACCTAGACAGCAATAACCATCTGATTTGGGTCATTTCTTTAATAAAACTGACATTTGTTGTCATTCCCCAATACAGATGGCAACCCAGAGATCTCGTACCGCGGGGATAGCTATAGCCAACAATGGCAGCTTTTTGTGTCAAAACATTTTCTCCCCGATTTTCTTTATTTAGATCTAATTTTCTGATTTCTAAATCAGATGTAAATTAGGTCGGTATGTCATTTGTCCTAATTACAGTTATCAAACTTTGATAACTTAATATTAAATAGACAATTTACGGAATTACTTATATGAATTATCCAATTTGTATCTCAGATCCGCGAAGCAGTACGTTCATGCATTCGAAATATTACCCGGCGGCCGATATATTTCCGGGTCCACCTACCAAAACATAGCCAAATGGCCAATCAGAGCACTCGTTTCGTGGGAGTTCGTTGGTCAAGCTGGGCCGACTCGTATGTAGCTACGGTAGCTATTGGACGTTCGAAAAGAAAAAATGAATATTCATCAACTAAAACCAAGACGGATAATGTTGACGACGAGACTTTCTCGGATTAATCATTAATTTAGGATCTAAATGAGCAAGCTATCGTAAGTCGAATAAGCTATATATGTGTTATTTTTAATTTGTGTTGTAATTGCAGCAGTTATGAGGATGTAAAGAGTGAAAATCTCGTTGCATATCTCATTCATCGCGGTCCGGTCGAACCGAACCATTTGTTCCGTACAGTGCCTCACAGAAAGAGGTCCCCAGACTTCAGTCTCTGTAATCGGAGGTCTAGTGGAGCCAGACGTAGTCTCAGTGGAACAACCGACGATTAGAGAGACTGAAGTTTTCGGTCTAGGAGATACCCTACTAAAACATATCCCAAAATGAAGAACTTATTCATTAAATCTCCAAAAAAAGATCATGAGTTAAAATTCGTTATGTTGATTACCTGTTTTGTGTTAATATTCTTGTTATTTTTAAGTATTTTCGAGAAAACGATGATAGATCTATTAATAAACACTTTTTCACAGGTTTCACGGCAAACCACTTCACAATACAAATGCACTTGTATTCAGGGGCGTCGCCAAAGGGGGGGTGTGTGGGGTGCGACACCCCTCCACCTGTCAGGATATTGTCGGTAAAATTGCGCTGCCATCGGGGAAAAAAGAGAAAAGGGGAAGGGAAAAAAATAGAGGGAAAGGGAAAGAAAAAAAAAGAAAAGGAAAAAAAAGGAAAGAAAGAAAAAGAAAGGAAAGAAAAGAGAAGAAAGAAAGAGAAAAAAGAAAAAGAGGGAGGAGAGGAAAGAAAGGAAAAGAAAGAAAAGGGGGAAAAAAAAGAGGAAAAAAAGTAAAAGGGAAACAAAGGAAACGGGGGGGGGGGGGGGGAGAGAGGAGAGGTAAGAGCCTGAGAGAGTAGGAGTGGGAGTAAAAGAGAGAAGGGGTTGTTGGGTGGAGTCGTCTCGTCGAGGGAGCAAGAAAGACACAGGTAAATATGTTGCTATGTCGGGTCAGCTGTGTCGGTATTCTTGCTCGATCCTCGTGTACTATATCAATGCAGAAGTTTGAAGTCGGTGAGATGTATATTGTCGGTCGGCCGACAAGTTTTTTTCCACTACGAACTGTGACTTTTTATCCGCTGTGACGACTTCAAGAGTGACTACAACTACAATACTTGTATTTTCTCGAAGTCAACAACGGTACGACGAATCGTCTTCCTTTCTCTATATTGTGATGAAATGCCAACATTTCTGAAGGGGGAAATCTGAATTCAGGCAATAAGGGCTTGTTAAGAGTCGAAAACGAATCATCTTCTTTCTCTAATAATTTAATGAAACATTAAAATTTAGAATCGTCTTCTTTATCTAATAATTTGATGAAACGTCAAAGCTTCCGCGCTTCACGCGAGAGGGGGAAACTGAATTCAGACAATTAGGGTTTATCAAGAGTCGAAAACGGTACAACGAATCGTCTTCTTTCTCTAATAATTTAATGAAACGTCAAAACTTCCGCTTTGCGCGGAAGGGGAAGCTTTATTTAGACAAGGATTAAGAGTCGAGCACGGTGCAACGAATTGTCTACTTTCTCTAATATTTTAATGAAACGTCAAAACCTCCGCGCTTCGCGCGGAAGGGGAACAACTGAATTCAGTTAAGGATTAAGAGTCGAAAACAGTACACCAAATAGGGCTTATTAAGAGTCGAAAACGGTACAAACAAATTGTCTTCTTTCTCTAATAATTTAACGAAACGTCAAAGCTTCCGCGCTTCGCGCGAGAGGGGGAAACTGAATTCAGATGAATAGGGAGTACTAAGAGTCAAAAACGGTATGACGAATCGTCTTCTTTCTCTATATTGTGATCAAATGCCAAAAATTTCGCGTTTCGCGTTTCGCGCGAAGGGAGAAAACTTCATTTAGATGAGTCGAGAACGGTACAACGAATCATCTTTTTTCTCTAATTTAATGAAACGTCAAAATTTCTGCACTTCTCGCGGAGGGGAGAGCTTCATTCAGACAAGGATTAAGAGTCGAGCAAGGTTCAACGAATCGTCTACTTTCTCTGAAAATTGAATGAAACGCCAAAACTTACGCACTTCGCGCGGGAGGGGGAGAAACTGAATTCATACAAGGATTAACAGTAGAGAACGGTACAGCAAATCGTCTTCTTTTTATAATAATTCAATGAAACGTCAAAGCTTTCGCGCTTCACGCGGGAGGGGGTGGGGAGAAACTTCATTTAGACAAGGATTAACAGTCGAGAAAGGTACAATAAATCGTCTTCTTTTCCTAATAATTAAGAGGCCTATCACCCACACCCCCTAATGAGCGCTCTTTAAGTGATTCGCTTGGTCACTACCGCCCTCCCTAAAATAAGATCCTAGCTCCGTGCCTGCATTAAAATATATCAGCTATGATGCTGACTAAGTTGGCGAAATAATTCGTATATTTATGTCGTCGAGGAAAATGACCATTTGCTCACATGCAAGTACTATAGATAGTCAATGGGAAAAACAATTTAGCCTTCTGCCCCGGGTTTATAGGGTTAAATTTGTAGATATTGTACATTTAATTTTGTTGGTAATTGGTCGCTAGTTTTGTCGGTAATCGTTGGCCTCTACACCCCCCCCCCCCCCCACTGAAAAAGGTCTAGCGACGCCCCTGCTTGTATTGTGAAGCGGTTTGCTGTGAAACCTGTGAAAAAGTGTATATATATGAATATTAAAATATTAAGGGTCAGATGTGCGCGGCTTGACTTGCGAAGCTCACGCTCACGGATAGCAGACAACATGAATGTTCATGAATATTCATTTTACTCATTTCAAAATGGCTAACGGGCAATCTGACGAGAAGTCTTTTTCGAATAAAAAAATCAATTTGGGAGCTAAATGAGCAAGCTATCATAAGTCAAAGTACACATTTAAGTTTTCGTTATTTAAAAGATAACGGGGAATGTAGTATTGCTGCAAAATTTGATTTGATGTAGACGTAAAAAGTGAAAAACCTTGTAGCATCTTATTCATCTCTTGTCGGCCATTCCGTCCACTTGTACCCCCATAGGACGATCTTCAGTCTATATATAAGCGGTCAGAGGAGCCAGATACAATGTCAGCGGAACAACCGTCGATCAGAGACTGAAGCTTTCGGTCTAAATCATACTAGGCTTGCATTTATCTGAAAAGACAAATGCAATTATACTCACAACGGATTATGATTTCTTCAAATTATTTACCCCTCTCTGCCCCTTTTTTTCTTCTTTACAAATTATAGATTCGCTGGTCACTTTCTCTTGTTTACAAGCCATCAAGATCTCCAGAGTCTCCTCTCACTAATCATACTGAGACACAGGCAAAATGTCGACAATAAAGAAGGTCACTGATTTCTTATATCGAGGATTCACACTATCGATGGTGACTCTGACTGTGTATGGGGGAGTAGTTCTCACATCCAGATGGTACAACATGATAGAGGAGCGAAAGGTGAGGCAGAAGGATAAGCTTCTTGCAGCGGGCATGGAGGAATCGAAAGCAGCTACTCCAACGGAGGCAATCAACACTTAGTGAGCAAGCTTGGAGACTTCATCCAGAGCAGTTAGAACAATTTAAAAGATGATGTAACTGCAATATAAGAAGTGGATCATCCTGACCCTGAGCTGTGCCATTGCTTCATTTTATATTAAATTTGATATCATGGACAAGTGCTTTGTACCAAGAACATTTTGAAATTCCATGTAGGTGTTTGGGCATTGGACTGATTGGGATGTTTATTTGAGTTAAACTTTTGTTCAATGCTATAAATGTTGAATGAGGCAAACTACATGCATTATGAAAAATACAGAGATGTTTTTTTTTATTTTGATGTACCCCTACATCAGCAATGAAAGTTGTCTGCTCTCCAGTGCTATCTCTGTATTTTCATATTTTTTTTGTCTCAACACTCCTTGCATATTTGAGAACCCTCATGATCCTGCAGTTCTCAAGGATTGGAGGCATTCAACAAGAAAAGAAGAACTTGGATGAGAATAATAATAGTGCTGACATCTGTCCGGCAGTGATGCTCATGGCTCAGAAAATTATTTTACCACTTTTATAAGATTTCTTTAGGTATGTCTAAATCATGGAGTGATCAAAATCCTTTTTCTTGTCTAATTTGAAGGAGAGGAAGAAATCATCCTTTTTTAATGCACCCACACTAGTTTGACGTAGTTTTCTTCTTGTCATTTTATGTTGGAGAATTCTAGACTGACATTATTGTCACTCTTTCTTTTCATTTTGCAATCTTTAAGATAGTGAGCTTCAATACTATTAACTTTATGAATTTTGTATGTATTTAAAGCTTATTTACAATCTTATCAGGGATATTAAAGTCAAACTGAAATTTCTTTAACTTAAAAGTTAAAAACATAGCAACTTTGCACATTTTAATTCTCATTGAATACTGTCAAATGATTATGTTGTGACTGGTTATTAAACTGAGGGTCATTTCATACTTTTCATAGGGTCATGTTCAAATCTTAAATGAAACATACCCATTTAGATATTATACATGTAGTGTTATTACTTTATAATTGCAAAGCTGTTTCAGCCATCCCATTGGTTGAGTATTACTTTTTTTTTTGTGGCCATGTTTTCATAAAATGTGTTGTTTTTTATACTAGGTTTCCTCATGAGGATCATGCCACTGTGGTGATGTAGAAGTCTGATTGGGCCTTTGGGGAGGGGGGGGGGGGCGAGAAGGGTGACGAAATGAACCACTCGTTCAGCTGCTCTATGCATCTGACTAAGATGGTTTGTGCCCAGCAATGTGCATACAATATACGATTTCTTCTTTTTTTCTTCAAAAATGAGGCAAAATAAACTTGCTGTACAAGTACATGTAGATAAATATGTGTAATACTTTATTAGTTATTAGTTTATTACAATGAATGTTTGCAAATTTACACATTAAATAATCAAATATTATGGCCCAAACAATTACGGTAGGATGGTGTAAATCCACCTAATGATGTTGATTACAGTTGCATGCTCAATCTTGTGTTAAAATGTACCATGTATAATTATGTACATTTTGCATTGAACCATTTCTGTCCTTGTAGCCTGACAAAATCATCTTTGATTGATATATTCCTTTATAAAGGCTTTGATTTTGTCATGAATGAGCCGAGATAAATGTACACAGAGAACCTAAAATAAAGAATTTTATGGTACACGATAGGAAAATATAACATGAAGTACATGTACGACGTACGTGGTGCATTTGTAATGATTTGTTAAACTATTCTTATCCAAATCTGCGAGGATTTATAAAGAAAACAGTGAAACTCCATAATTTGTTTAAATATTTTGTATTTATATATATGGAATATGGCAGTTTAGAAGTTTCGGGTGCAGGAGAATGTGTGAAAGAGCTCTCGAGATAGAGAGAGAGAGAGAGAAAGGGGAGGGGTAGGTGGGTGGAGAGAGGGAGAGAAATAGGGAGCAAGTAGAGAAGGGAGAGAGGTGTGGCAGGGGTTGGGGTTGGGGGGGGGGGGGGGGGGAGGTGAAAGGAATTTACAACTACAGTGTACATGAATTACTTGTTAAATGTTATGATTATAACTCTTGAAACCAGGAAAAAATGAATGTAGGATAATAAAGAGAGAGAAATGGATGAAAAAACAGCGGGTGAGGTGGGTAATGAGTGGATGAGAGATAATCGATTAGGGAGACAAGTGAAAGAGAAAAGGAGAAAGAAAATAAAGAGTGAACGTATTCGTCATTACCTTACGATATGGGGGTATCATTTTCGGGGAAATATATTATTAATGAATTCACCCGAAAAAATGACGAACTCACTTATTTGAGATAATCTCATATAATGAGAGAGAGTGGGAAGGGGGGGGGGGGGATAAAGTGGATATACAGTGCGTCCCAGAAAAAACGAAACCAAGAATTATCGATGTTTTACTGGATGCGGACTGAATGCCTGCCGTAGAAAAAAAAGACTTGACTCCGTTTCGTTGACGATCATGCATCAAGACCATGCATCAAGTCTTTCGTCTTATTTGTGCATGGCTCCCCCCACATGCGTGTTCCCAAAATCTCCGGCTCGTAACAAAAGAAAAAGGTCTACCCGTATTAACTTTACACAAGGCCTTGTGCTGAAAGGGGGGAGGGTGCTGGGAACACGTATTATGCGTACCCTAAATAACACTGAGTGGGGGGGGGGGGGCGGGACACGGCTGTTTTGTCGACACGACATGCAGCCAAGGAAAACGAATTCGTTAAATAAATTATGGAAATGCAAGCATTCATTTAAACAAACAGAACTTTGCTATTCCGGGCTCATTTACCTGATTGAGGTGTCATAATAATTATGAAAGGGCAACAAAATGTACTTTCTAGAAATGTGATTTTCTCTTTGAAATTCAGATACCGCCCGCCAAATGACTTTTTGGTACCCTTCAATTTTTTTTTAATCACTCATACGTGAAATATGCATCATATGAGTTGCATCAAATGGAAGAGGAGGATCTAAGCTTTACACGTATGTGTCATTTATTAATCATAAATGTGATTAAGTTATGATAAAACATCGATAATTCTCGGTTTCGTTTTTTTCTGGGACGCACTGTATCCCAAATAGTCGTGACAGGTGTTTTTCTGTCACTGCGCGTACCCTTTTGTGACGTAAGAATCAACAGTTACGAGGCGCGCATAGTGGGCATGCCTCACTATGGTTGCGCAAACCTTTGTAAAAGAAAACAGAGAAGTCGTGTCTAAAAAAAAGTAAAAAACGACGTACGTATACACTTTCACAATCAGCAATAAATTCCACCTCCGGTTCTAAGTTTTAAAAAATAGCAACAGTTTTAACAACAAAAGTAGCAGGAAGAATGAATATTTGATAAGGAGTAACAACCTGGAAGCAGCTCAGCCCAAATGGCAGATTCATATCAGGTATTTTATATTTTTTCCTTTTTTCCGCGGTGATATTTATTTATAGATCCTAGGTCAAATATATAGGAGTAGACACTTCAGAATCGTTACTGTCTAGATTCTTTTTTTTCTCTTAATCATTGTTTTGAAAAAATCTATTAAATAATTTTCTTATAAAGCAAAACAAAAAATGCTTTCGTCATTTTGAAAGTGAAAAAACAACTTCTCCATCCCAACAGTCAAATTTGTGTTTTGTTTTTCATTGTTGGCTTTAAATTTATTTTCTAGAAAGAACCTTCATAATAAGGTAATTTGTAACAAACTGCGATACTAAACAAATCAAATTTTCATCCAAACATATAGCAGAACTCTAGTAGGCCGATTTGAATAAAAACATAATTTATATGACGGTGTTTTCATGTTGTTTGTTTTACCTTTGCAGGCTCGAAGAGTCGCCGGTGTTACTGGCGGTGACATTCTCTTCGAAGATTTTGATTTCTCCTTCAAACAGCAAATAACTCACGTAGCCAATCTCGAGAAGGCTGTTGAACAATACAGTGCTGCAATTAAAGGTAAAGTTTTTTTCTGAAATAGATAGTCCTACACATTAATAGGTGAGACTTTCAGATGATAGGGATAATGAAAACCTCGAGTTTTGCAGCGATGTTAGGAAGGGATTTGTTTCCCCCTTAAAACTTGCAAGTAAAGCAAAATCAAGAAGGCCCTACTTTTACATTTCCTCAAGATTTCGTCCGACAAAAAAGACTAGTAGGCCTAATCCTGTTGTTCTATTGTCTATTGAGTGCGAGACTGATGAGTGTTTAGCTAATCTCGGGAAAGTAAGAGTTCGGTAAATCGGGTTTGATCAATAATATCTGTTACGTAAAATATCTTTTGTATGATTTCATTTAAAACTCTGTTTATTCCACTTTGCATTGATTACGCTAATGTAATTTTGGTGTTGATGTATACTTTTCATGCACATCAACCATTGTCACGACTTGTGTATACCTCAATTATGATCCGCCCCTTTACTGAGATACATTATATTCTTTTCTTAATCGTTTTTTTTTTTTTTACTACACAGAAGCCAAATCATGTATGCAGAATGTTAACGAGTGCCTGGCTGAGTTCTACGAGGACTTCTGGCCGAAACATAAGGAATACAAAGTTGCAATAAAGGTGAAACATTTTCTTTTTTCCATAAATTTAGACATTTATTTATTTTTATTTTTTTTATGGCGCTGGCAGAAGGGCATTAAAATCATTGTTTTAACTAACTATTCCTGATTATTCTGATAGCCTTTGTAAGAAAAAGTATTACCCGATGGCTATTAATTAAAATGAACCATTCTCTCTAAAAATAAATAAATCTGTGTGTCACAAACTAATTAGCTGATGGATAAAACTATAGACTTATAAGGAAAGTCGTTTCCATTTTTTGAAATCCAGATTACTCAAATATTTTTGCACGAAAATAAATGTTAGAACATTGTAATCTCTTCATGCAAAGCTGGTCTCAAGATCTGGATATAAATTCAGCCATTCGTTTTCTCAGAAGGTGCAATATACGCCTACTAATTGATTGAAATACAGTGGCACATCCAGAAATCGATGAACAGGGGGGGGGGGGGGGGGGGCAGGGGGTGAGTGGCCGGAATTTCTTCCATTTTAAGGAAACATTGCTTTTTAGAAAGTTAACATTTTTGTTGGCCTTTAAAAACAGAGGAGGTTTATTCCAGCTTCTTAATAATTATGCTTGATACACCAAGGAAATATAATTTGGAAGTCTGCTGTAACATCGTTCAAAGACGCATATAACCTTCCTCATGACAAATTTCGTTTCTTTCTAAAAATTGAATTACAGGACAGTGCAGCAGTTTGGAGTATCTTAATCCGACATACACACGAACTCGGAGAACCTGTGCGACGATTTAAACAACTTGGATTAGATGCACAGGTATATGATTATAATTAATAGACCCTATAATTATGTACAATAATTATATAGATAAATAATTCATACTTTTAATTGAAGTAGCAGATCCCTTAATCGATAACGATTTAGGAAATACAGTGGCGTATTATGGGGAATCTGTATAGTCGTGGGGAGGGGGGGGGGGGCACGGCTTTTAAGTGGATGAAATAAAACGGATAAGGGTTAGTGGGCGAAGAAGGACGGGTTGTATTATTTATCTTTTATTTATCTATGTTGGCATTCGAATGGAGTACCGAAGTGCTAAACTCATATTCGCTCGTCGTCATGGTGACTGGATCTATAAAAAAAAAATATTCGGCAACGGGCTATAGTAAGGGAAATCCAGTGTTTGGGGCTTACTTGATCATCACACATTGTTTAGCACAACAACCTGGACAAGGCTTGGCCAGTATGACGTCACACTTCGGTTTAGGGACACGTGCCCCTATAGCTATACCACTGATTAAAAAGATTGATTCGGTGTTCTTTTCCCAAGTTCCTACAGATAAATATGGTAAATGCCCAAATTAATCAGCGAAAATAAAGTTATGAGGTGAACATCTGCAAGAATGTATACATAGCTTATTATACTTGTTTAAATATTACTCATCGGTAACATTAAATCATTTACAACTCTGGCAACAACAACAACAAACTACAACGACAATAAATACTGCTATTAATTCAAATTATGGTCCGTTATATCCAGCCTTTGTACAAAATCAAATGTAATCATTGCACTTGGGCATAACGTAATTCCTGTGATTGTTATTTGCAGAAATACCTTAAAACTCATGACACGAAGCTCCAACACGGACGAGTCTCAGAGGTTAGTAAATATATCAATTGAAGTCAAACTTGAAGCGTTATTTTTATATTAAATCATACTGCGAAGACATGCTTGTGGGTTCAAAGTTTACATTTTTTGCCATAAAATGCAAAGTAAAATGAAACGCCGGATAGAAAAAAGTAAGCTTTTTTCCCCCCTAAGATGTGATTTTTTTTTCGAGATCTAAACTAGCATATAGATTCATTTCTACGTGAATGAAAGTTTAATGAACTTTCAAGCCTTACAATTAATAATTCTATATAACAGTATTGTTATTTGTCGTTGTTTTTGTTGTTGGTCAAATTTTGTTATTATTATTCTCTCTCACTTCCTAGAGAGCACGAGGTGGCGACAGGAATCCAGAGATGTTTCAAAATATGGTGAGAAAAAAAAGTGTACATATATTATTTCTGCTCCTCTTTATCCCTCTCTCAAACTCGATCGGAAGGAAGAGGCATGTCCCCCGGGAATTTTCGAGGTGGGGGAGGGGTAATCTCCGAAACCATTTTTTCAAAAACAAAATTCCATAAAGCATGGTACATGTAGATAGCTATTGAGGATCCGAAGTGTGATTTTCAAATGCAGAGATTCACTATTCCATATTTATAAAGGGAAAATCTTCTCCCTCGATGTGAAATAATGCCCTCCCGCACGATAACGATTAAATGCATGTTATTGAATATGAAATGTAACCAACCTATTATTTTAATCACCATGAAAGGAAAAATATATGCCAAATTTTCTATACGAATTAAGCATGGGTATATGTCAGTTATCAATCTATATTTGACCGTGTTATTATTCTATAGTTACAAACAGGATCAGAAGACAGGCGTGATAAGCTGAAGGGTGTGAATGATGAAATGGTCGAAGATCTTAACCAGCTATTCCAACAGTAAGCTCTCAGTTCGTTGTGTTATCACCTCTTCCAGTTGTATGCCTAAACACCATTCTGTTTTCAAGAATTATTTTCGTGGAGTCGAAAGTGTGGAATAATTAAAATTGCACATAATATTTGTGGTATCAACATTTTTATTGAAGGAGAAAGATACGTTTTGAAAGGAAGACATAGTAGATCGTACAAAGATTGTTATCCTTTGTTTAGGTATAGATCAAAATTTGCATGATGCATGATGTGAATTTTGGGCTGAAATTCATAGAATCACATAGCCCTTTATCTTTATCATTGGTGAAACTATAAATCTGGGACCACTTAAATAACTTACTTCCTCTAGTCATAGCAATGTTTTAAAAGACTTTCCTCTTACTTTTCACAACACTGTCGACAGTTTTGTGCTATCTTAATACAACAGTAATTTGGCAATCACGACCTTAAGTGTCAACGTGCATGAGGCGTCATATTAAAATTAAGTTCGTTCTTAAAACAATGATTGTTATTTATACAGGCGAGGAGGCTTCGTTATCGACATCTTCAAGTCAGTCTACACAGCTCATAATGACTTCTATTCAGAATCATCCAAAGTAAGTTAGTGCTGCCGACACATATCAAACCTTTATTTGAGAATTGAGTTCATGGACATTAACTACATATAGAAATACGTGTATTAAAAATCAAGAGTTACACCAGTTGAGTAGTATGTATTTTTCGACGGTGCGATCATCATGATTATGCATTATTAAAACAAAATCACAAAAGTCTTAGTTCTTTTTTCCCCTTTCCATTATACAGTGCGTCCCAGAAAAAACGAAACCGAGAAATATCGATGTTTTATCATAACTTAGTCACATTTATAATTAATAAATGACACATATTTGGACAGCTTAGATCCTCCTCTTTCATTTTGATGCAACTCACACGATGCATATTTCACGCATGAGTGAATAAAATGAATTTGAAGAGAGGAAACCAAAAAGTCATTTGGCGGACGGTATCTGAATTTTAAAGAGAAAATCCCATTTCTAAAAGGTTGAGTTTCTGCTCTTTCACATGACACCTCAATCACGAAAAATGAGCAAGGAATGACAAAGTCCTGTTTGTTTAAAGTAGTGCTTGCATTTCCATAATTTTATCAAACGAATTCGTTTTCACTGGCCGCCTGCCGAAGCAACGAGCAGAATTGACAAAAGACTTAACTCTGTTTCGTTGACAATCAGCCATGCATGAGGTCTTTCGTCTAAGTATACGGCCGCTTGTCAACGAAACGGAGTAAAGTCTTTTGTCAATTCCGTTTGTTGCTAGCAGCCAGTGAAAACGAATTCGTTTGATAAAATTATGGAAATGCAAGCACAACTTTAATCATACAGAACTTTGTTATTCCTAGCTCTTTTGTCATGATTGAGGTGTCATATGAAAGGGCAGAAACTCAACTTTCTAGAAATGTGATTTCCTCTATGAAATTCAGATACCGTACGCCAAATGAATTTTTGGTTTCCTCTCTTCAAATTCTTTTTAATCACTCATGCGTGAAATATGCGTTATATGAGTTGCATCAAATGAAAGAAGAGGATCTAAGCTTTCCAAATATGTGTCATTTATCAATTATAATTGTGATTAAGTTATGATAAAACATCGATAATTCTCGGTTTCGTTTTTTCTGGGACGCACTGTACAAGTCTAATGTTTTTTGGAATATCAGTCGCAGATTTTTAACGAAAATATTGGATAAACCACATCGCACACGGATTAAAAAGACTTGTGGTTGTAGTTCTCAAATGGAAAAAAAAATAATATAAAGAGGAAAGACAAAGGGAAGACAAAGGGAAGAAAATTAATAGCCACATTCAATGTATAATTTTTCATTAATGATAAGTAGGAATAATAGGGAGATTAATAGAAAAACATGTGAATTTAGGGCATTCATCCTTAACTTTCATGTATCATTATCCAATCTTAGATCTCGGGAACTGTTCTTCAAATGGTGATCGACTTGGAGAACGTCCGGCTTGAAATGAGTGTCGGTCAGGGACGGCATCGACGAGTCTCCAGCACAAACGCACAACGTATCGGCTGGGCTACAACCGCCCACACCAATTACGAGTCTTATCAACCTCCTCCTCCTACTAGCAACAAGGGATACCAACAAACATCTTTTCCCCCTCCTCCAATGGTAGGGGTATCCAAACTGGGAGTTCGTCCGAAGCCGGTCGTGCAGGATATCGCAAGACCGATTTCTGTCGGCGCACAAGGAAGGGGAAATGATATGATAGCAAAGCCTATCTATAAAGGCAAGTTGGTATCCATTTACATCTAACACTGCCTGGAATTCGGAATAATCATATTCAACACGCAAAGGTTTTCAAAAATCAACCTACGACAATTTCAATAGCCTTGTGCTTCACCTATACAAATGTATATGTGCGAACACAATGTGATTTCCACAGGCATTACAAGAGGTTTTCTATCTTCTAAAGGTTTTATTAATACAAATCAGAGAATAATCGCAATGAACAGGGCATAAACAAGGCAGGTGACAATGGATAAATAGATATGTAAACAAAGTCAATGAAAGTGATATAAGAACATGTCTTCTAATATTACTGTTTATACATCATTTGAACATCAATTAAAGTCCATCCTCCACTTTCGATAGTGAAGAGCAAGTCTACCCTTATTGTTGGCCATTCTATACTCTAAATCTTTGTTGGACTTGATAAGTTCCTTAAAGCCTTAAAACAGTATAGAGTCTCAAAATTGATGTTACTTTGATTTGTTGAAAGACTTGTCACAAGCTATATCATCAAGACTCTTGTGTGTCAATTTTGCATCTTCAACTTCGGCGTAAATGACAGCTAAATTTCTCGGTTAAAATAGGAGAGAATGGTCTGAATCGATTGTTCTCTACTTAGTCCGAAATTTATAATGAGATTTCTATCAAACTGGAATTGACATTGATAACGAATTAAAAAAAAATCATGCCTCTCTTCTCATCCTCGTCTAATGTTAGGTGTATCCAAGAAACCGGGAGGACGTCCGAAGCAAGACGTACAAGATATTGCAAGACCAATGCCTGTCAAACCATCGAATGAACCACCTGGTAAGAGGTCTTGTCACGCCTATATGATGTTGTAGATGTCAAAGACTGAAATAAATAATATGGAGTGTCGGATATGTGCCGTTGGCATCTCCAACCTCGACAAAAATACGATCTGCCCATTGTTCCCGTTGCGTCAGCAAATAGGCCATTTTCGTAATGTAACCAAATTTAATGTATAAGTCTTTGTGAAGTGCCTCAATACAAATTATTTCATTCACCTGATAAGAATAACAGTATTTTAATAGTCAGCATCCGAACTGCATACATTAGTTGTTGCCAGGTAGGACAAACATTATGGCTTTACCTAGCTAGCAACACTTAACATATGCAGTTTGCATTCTGACTATTGAAATACTATTATTCTTATCAGGTGAATGAAATTATTTTGAATTGAGGCACTTCACAAAGACTTATGCATTAAATTTGGTTACATTACGAAAATGGCCTATTGCAGTAGGGACTTTTAGATTCGCACGAAGACAATGGGGATTGCTACGATCATGGACCTAGGTCCATGCTACGATCGACGTCCTTTTAATGCACTGCCTTGAATGGACGTCACACGTATATCAGTCCACGCAAATCTAAAAGTCCCTATTGTCTGGCCTTTGACGCCCAAGTACGAGTGATATACAACATGATTGTTAAATAAACAGTGCAAACATTGATTTGAATTACTGGCGCATGGACTCTGCCTGTAGAGGTTTCATTGGCGCAGTTACCTGGCGCGGTTACTAAATGCAATAAAAACCACACCTATAGTATGCAACAAGCATCATCAGCCACCTCTTATCAAGAGTAGGGAATGATCAAAATTGACAATCCTCTATTCAGTCACAAATTTATGTACCGATCGGGTTTATTTAACCCAAGTTAATAATGATTAAAAAGATTTTAAAAAACATATTCATTCTAATCTGATTATAGTTATACCCAAGCCACGTATAGGACGTTCTAAGCAAGAAGTGCAAGATATCGCAAGACCAGCTACTGTTGGACCAGCGGGAAGGGGAAAGATAGGTAAATGTGGAATTAATTGATGCCTAATCGTTCGTTACCTGTTAATATATATTAAGTTAAATTTGTGTTGTGAATGATCCGAATCGATGGTCAGTCCTCCATTCAATCCTATTGGCTTTGTAAACCAGCATTTTTATGAATGGATTCAAAGCTAGGCAACACCACAACAAACTAAACTTGAATAAAGAAAATCATTAACATTGGATATCTGAAAACATATGACATATTTTTCACTCATGCAGATGTGCAGACGATCTAAAACACTGAGAGTTAAGGCAAAGAAATCTCTTCAATGAAGCTTTCAACACATTCGAATCCAAAGCTGCTTAATAAAGTTTAAAAGATATCTTAGATGAATAGCTTAAACTTGACATTTGCATATAATTCGTGCAATATAACAAACAAAACACAGCGATGTACATTTTTAGTTCCTTTATCTCTTTTCTCAGGCCGTGGAGGAGGCAAGGCACCCGGCTCAGCACCACCATTTGGAAGAGGACGGGGAGGTGGTCAGGGCATTCAGTTTGATCATTCTGGAAGAGCAATTATATGATACAATCTGAAGAACAAAAAAGGAACCTAAATATCATGTATAACCAAATTTTCCTTTATAAAAAAACACATTAACCTTTTTTTAAACCAAAGTATTGTAAGATTAAAGGCATTGTTTAACAATAAAATACTATACATGTACGTGTCTTTGCACTGTGTTGTAGGATAACAGGAAAGACAGTGAAGAGGGGATGGTGTTGATACAAAAGAGGAAAGAGACAATGAGAGAAATTTTGACAAATGGAAAATTGAAAGAGAGGAAACAAACTTTTTCAGATCGATCTCTTAATGTGTGTCATTAATTTCAAAGGCTGCATTTACAATGAGTGGTCCAAGTATACATTATTGCCCCTGAAGTAATGTCATACATGACTTTACAATCATTATAGGGATTGTCCAAACATCATCAAAAGCTTGACATAACAGTCGTTTCATCCCTTTAGACTACATACAATCTCAACAAAAAAATATCTGATTTCAAATGTTATGTATTCAAAAATTGTTTTAATAGTATGTACAATTACACACAAAGTTGTTTACAAGTCAACAGTATCGATCATTAATTTTAGTATTCACGTCATTGCTTTTATAATTACTATTACCTACTCTACATAGTTACATACACGCAGACATTGAGTATACAACAGGCCATAATGCGTTTGGTATACAATACATATAATAGATTGCAGAGAGATTTACAATGCACTTTCATACACTTTGATACAGGAGAGATATATAAATAGCTTATAGAAAGTAATGTTTAGTTTCTTTTTTTTTACATATATATTTTATACAAAATGAATATTGTGACCAACTATTCATAGAGTTTGCTACTTGTTCATATCCCCAAATAAATTTGTAAGATACAATTTTAACAGCTTTAATCTACTACTATGATAATAATAAAGAAGTAAGGAAAATCAGTTAGGCAACAAATGTGATATTAATCACTTTAGATTATTAAAGAGAGATGGAAAATGACTTTTCCCCGAAATTCTTGATTGTGTATATATATGGCTATTCTATATTTTGGTTCAAACCTGTATGACATGGTTATCAAAAGACTTTGATCACAGGCAATTTTCATAAGATTACAAATTATAATGACTTTGCCAGTACCATTCATAAATATACTTATATCAACCAATGATGAACATATCATCTGTTGAGAGCCAAAAGGGCTGTCATTGCCGGGCGTTATCCCCGTGTACGAGTTAATGCCCTCCTGGCTCTGAGCAGAAGGTATCAACCATTTGGAACCAGAAGGTTGTTAACTCCAATTATAATGATCCAAGTTAATGCTCTTCTGGCTCTAAAATGGATGATAAAAGCTGCTTCTGTCTGGGTATCATTAATCTGTATAGGACGTGTTGTATTCAAAATATGAATATGAAGCAACAATAGATTAAAAGATAACTACAACGCTAAGATCCTGTATAGTCCTGTGACAATGAAAACAAAAAACATTACATAAAAGAACATTTAAACAGTATACCTGTTACAAAGAGTCTTGGAACAACCTCACAAGTGGAATTATGACAGTACAGGCTTGTTCCTATTATAAGTTCATACTTTTTTTTAATAATTTGTTTACTTGTTCCCTTGTACTGCAATGCAAAAGGATTTTTACGATGTAAGTAGAAAATTATATCATTAAATTTGAATATAATCACCCTTACAAACCCAATTCGGACTAACTTTGTAGCACACTAAAACATCTCATCAAAACCCGATCCCAAAAGCAAAACACAAATGTATGAACATTTATTTTCACAGCAATTCTTAAACCATATTTACCATTACTGCATTCTGCCTCAAATTAATTTATTTTCCCATTTCTGTTTTGTAATTTTTTTTTTTTTTATCAAAAAGCAAAAATATTAAGCATAAAATGAAGTTCAGGTTCAAGTTCAATATCATCCATGCTAAATATTTCTTACTGTTGATACAGATTTCCTTGATTTTCTTTGAAAATTGAAGAAGAGAACAAAGGGATTGACATGTTTAGCTACACAGACAAAAACATAAAATCTTCCTTTCACACACACATACAAAATGAGTCTGATATTTCATTCATTTAGATACACAGGACAACTATTTCATAATCATGATCACAATATGTGTAGTTACGAAAGGATTTGACATCAACTATTGATGCCTTTACAAAATTTCAAACTACCTTAATTTCAATTACATGTATCAAATAACCATTAAAAAAAAATATGCATTGAAAGAGTTATTATGTTGTGTTTATATTAACTAGTATTCCTAATATCATCAAATTTCAATAAAAATTACTCATTCTAGATCATTCAAGTTAGTTTTTCCTACTTTCAAAGAAGTTATATATCTTTTAAAAAGGTTAAATTTGTCCAAACTTCCTCTGAAATAAATCTGTACTTCCCATGGCAGCTTGATGTAAATAGTAATAAATTAGCTTCTTATATTGCAATTGATAGGGGTAAAAAAAAAAAACTTAATTTAATGCCTTACAATATAAGGCTCATTTACAATTGCTCAATCAGGTTGATTTAAAGTAATGACACAAATTAACAATCTGTATATATCATCTCAAAAAATAGTTATACAAAGTATTAAAAAAGATGAATATAAATATCTAATACTATTAAAATGTATATTTGTGCAAGTCAAGAACAAACTGTAGAACAAAACACTTTTGCAATTGATAATAAAGAGTATTTCCATTGCAAGACTCTGTCTCAAATCTGGATCTGAGAAATTAGTGAAGGTAAAACAAAAAGTTTGTAATGGTCAGAGAGAAAGTAATGTTTCACTCACACAATTACCATATTCTGATCATTGACAAAAATATGATTAAAAATATAATTGGAAAATGAAGCAGAAAAAAAATGAACAAGATATATACATTCAATCAGTACACTGCTATCTAAAAATTAAAAATAAAGAAAAAGTCTTAAATTTCAGCATTGATAATAACAATGATAATAATAATAAATGTTAAAAAGCAATCATATAAAGAGATTCCACAAAATAATCATGTAGCAATAAAAAGTCAAAAAACAATGTTACTGTATTGCATAGCTCAATTTACTTCACAATTCAGCGAAAAATTAATTATCAATACTGATTCAATCTGAACCCAAAAGGGTTGTAATAAATTAATCTCTGATTCATTTTTGCTAGATCTACTTGAATGATACTGAAGACTCACAAATACCTCCTATCGGGAAATCAATGAGCTTGCTAATATACAATTTCAATCAAACCATAATTATATCATTATGTAGCACTGCTTGGAAAAGTAGACTCATATATAGCATCTCTTATCATTAAATTCATATGAATTGAGAAAATTGTTTAATTTCTGCATTTCTTGCAGACTAAAATCTAATCAATCATTTCAATGGATTGAGATTATTTTTAACAGAGCATATAACCTGTATAATGAAACATGAAATAGTGTACAGAGTAGGTTTAGGCCAGTTCTTTTACATCAAACTTTGTTATTTCACCATATCGAAGCCATTTTCATGAATGACTTAGGGATTGTACTGAGAGAAAAACAAACCACCCCAGAGTTATTGTACTTATTCAGATGAGGCACTATTACTTTGACTCTTTGTTAATTATCATTTGAAAAATTCACTTAAGTCACAGCATTTAATTCAATAAAGCTTAATTCACACACTATGCTGGGAACCCTTCAATAGAAAAGAAAAGAAAGAAAGAAAAAAACTGCAGCAAAATTAAATTATTGAATGTAGCGACAATCCATTTCTGTATAACATACAGGAGTACTCTTATTAGGGGTCTCTGATGCATGCAGCATCGTTTTCATCCCACCTGCCATACATGTAAAAGAGCTTTCTATTTTGCCACAGCCGTTTATCTTGTTGAGTGGTTTAAAGCATCATGTATGTATGAGGCCTCAGCTGTGTCATATATTCTTTCCCTTCATCAAGTGATTGTAATCTAAATCTTTTATCATACTGAACAACCCTCATATTTTTCTACAACTAAAAACAACTACACACGCCAAGATAAAATCAAACGCAAATTTTGTCAGCATGATATTACCATCAGTTATTCACAGTCTATAAAATGAAATCATGATCTGATCGCTAATCTCTCGAAGTCACTCAGCCCACTATGTCTAGTCAAATGGATTTAAACCTTGGAGTAAATATCCACAACAACAATCAGTAAATGAGATAGTCATTTATGATTTAAAACAAAAATACAAACTGAAACTTCTAGATTGACAGTGAAATTGAGATCTGTCTTTGAATCTTGCTTTGATGAAGTCCCTGATTTGTTTACTTTCTTTTTACATGAATGCCCAGTAGAAGTTATTGCATGTGCAAATCGATGGGAACATGAACCCTTATGTATACAATCTATCTATTTCAAAAGATAACAATTCGTCTACTTCAAAAGAAAACAATTCGTCTACTTCAAAAGAAAACAATTCGTCTACTTCAAAATCACAACAATAGACCTTGATTGGCAAGAAAGGGTTTTTAAATGTTTCATACCCTTCCTACCACTTTCTCTTTAATAAGACCTAAACTTTCCTCTTTAATCTTAATAATAGGGAAGGGCAAGGGATCATGGCAAAGAAATATTTGTAACTGGCTTGGGACAAAATTTGGGTCAGTTCCAGCAAATGGAGATAACTATCAATTTGAATTTAAGATGGGCAAACATTGGGTATTTGGCCAATATCCAAGTGTTTTGCATGATGACATTACAAGGAAATCAATACTTTTAGCTATACTTCACTTTAGAAACATGAAAATAACTATTTACTGGTTCAATATATAATTTTTAATTCCATTCTTGTATATATTTGGGACATTGTATAACTGGGTTAACATTGAAACTAGGGGGAGGGATGCCCTGCATATATTCAGAATTCATTTCTGTGATATATATAAATAAAACTTTGGTGTTTGAATAACATTTCAGTATTAATAAAAAAACCAATTTGACACTATTTTAGTTTCAAATCATTCTCAGTCTAGAAATTGTGGTTATTTTGACCTGCCCTTAATAGTGACTAATCAAGGAATGATTATAATATTCAATTACAATACTAACTGAGCACACTAGTCGATACACAAGAGTCTATTGCCTTTGAACTGATAACGGTAATAAAAGTTCATAGTCAAAGCCTATTCACTCCACCACATTCTCTTCCATGAAGAACATTCATCAAGCTAGATTTCTTCCATGACTGAAGCTATGCTATGATACAGAGCCAACATGAAAACTGATATTTTCATGAGTATATTGTTCGAAAATGCAGCATGGGTTTACAGTCATATAAAAACCTAGATACACGGATACCACCTTGAGTCACCCTATGAGCCTGTAAAGAGACTCCAGTATGACGACATCCCATGTTCCGTGCAATATAAAGCCCAAAAAGGGATGGAGTCAGGACCTAAAAACTAGCATCCCAGTAGATAATGACAGTTCTACATGTACCTCGATGAGACGTATTTATTGTACTGATGAAGCAATGTTGGTGTAGGGTATGTGTACTAAGATAGAGAATGGATGCCGTGTGTTCATAGCTATCAGAATTTCGATGTAAAATTCTCCGGAAAGACGCCTCTGTCTCCATTATCCTCTTTATAGCCCATTAACCAGCCTTCATCCTACAAAGAAAAGAATTATAAAGAAAAAGAGAAGAAGAATGGAATGAAACTCATTTGGTAAAGTAAAGATGAAATCTGTACAGAAGAGGAAAAATCAAAAATGCAAAAGTCAATGATAAGCTCTCATCTAATCACTGTTTATAAGATATGTAGCACATACCATGATTTCGGACAATACCGTTAAAGGTCCTGATGGGTTCTGGTCATGAAATATACAATGGAACTGAAGAATAGGTGCTTTATTTGTTTCTAGATCGTAACAATGATAATTCTGACCTTTTTCCAGACTTTGTGCATATTTTGAGCAAAAACAAATGTATGTTCAAACCACTGCTGCAAAGCTTTCAAAAATGAGGTGAATTCAAACAAATGCAAGTGAAATATTCAACCAGTATCTAAAATCGCAAGTTACTGTAATCAAATTCACAGATTGCATTTATTTGAAAAGTCAACTTTCACTGCAAGAAAATGCTACTTTATCTGTGATTTCTTCCATATTAATGTGCCTGAAAAATCAAAAGGTATTCAAACCTGGTCTTCTGGGTCTTCAAATGGTACAACACATACAATCTCTCCTTTAGCCAGCGTCAATTCATCCGAGTCTCTGGGCTGATAATCGTGGGTTGCTTTCGCCTAAAAGTGTGAAATGAACAGAGAACATTTAATGTCTTCTAACCATTTTCAAGTGGAAACCATATCTGACAATCAGCTTCCCCGGACCAGGTACCTAGATTGAGTCATACCTACCCACCCACATACTAGCCCTGTTCCCACAAGATGAGGTACACTGCCTTTAAAAAAAAAACAATGTCGCAAAATAAAACAATTTTATGAGTAAATGTTAATTTTTCCCAAACTTTTATTTACCCAGGGATGCCTCATCAGTTTCATTGCTGTTCTTCCTGAGATCCCTGTATTCATCATTACTCCAGCAATTGCCAGGTACTCATTTATACCTGGGTGGAGAGTGGCAAATGTGGATATGTCTTACCAAATGACATTAGTCCCGGGCTTAGATTCGATCCTCAATCCTTGGATTTAGAGTCGAGTGATTGAACCACTATACCACGACACCCCCACTGAAATAAGGCTTTAAAACAATTTTAAACAGTTTTTAGAAAAAAAATTATTAATGAATAAACATGTATGTATTAAACCATTCAAAACTGAAAAATATCAGCCCAAAGAGGAAATAAAGCAGAAAAAAGAAAAAAAAAATCTACTGTCCGACCCAGGTGCCGGCACCTAAAGGACTAATACAAAATAAATGGCAAGTGTGGGAGAATGACATGTAGCTGCACTTTATAAAGGCCCCTACTCACTTATCTACACCTTATACTAGTCCAGTATCATTTTTGAGGCTGTTTAGAGTGACAAGTGTGAACGAGGCCAATGACTTACTCTGTATAGTACGCCTGATGGGAGTGAACTACTGCCGTTGGTTTGAGGTGCTGGAGAAGGAGGTGCCGGGGCTGGTGAGGAAGGAGATGTGCCGTTGTGAGTCGTCGTGTCCGCCGCAGGGTTCTTATTAGGCTGTGTATTAAAGAGGACAGAAAAGAAAATGAAAACAGGTGTGCATCACTTTGATGATGATGGATCATAGCTGCTAGTCGCCTGCGGTATAATGCATAAATGTTGCAAGAATATTTGCAAAATACTGTTTCCATAGTCTAGTACCTATAATTGATAACCCCAGTAAATTCTCTCTTCACCCCCTCTAAAATATTACAAGTTAATGCATGTTATGTTGTTTCCTTGTATCAACAAGAATGCACAGCAATTGAAAGCATTCACAATACAATCATTTACATTAAGGAAGCAAGTAATGATACAGTCACTCAACAATGAATATTAAACAGATGAAGGATTGCGGATAACATCTTTAAGGTTATCCAATAGGAGTAAAATACAAGTGATATGAAAAGTCTTGAATATGAAACGGGCATACAAGAGAAACTAATAGAAGAAAAATAAAGATAGAACACAAAATTTTACCAAGAACAAGAACAAACTCTAATTGACACAGAAATCTTGATTATGATCTGCATTGAGCTTTTCTGATTCTAAAACATCTTGGGTTCCTGACTACAGTGTTCGCTTTTAACACAAATAAAAGTAATCAAGAGCTTAAAGATAAATTTTTGAGGTATTCATCAGAGACTAACCTCTACAGGAGTTGATCTGGGAACCTGGTATTCAGCCGTCTGGTCATCATCGTCTTCTTCCTCCTCCTCATCATCGTCCCTCTCCTCCGGCAGATCCCTTCGACGGTCCACAGCAGGTGGGACCGAGTAGACGGGACTATCGTTGGGGGAATCCCGGGAGGAGGCGGAGTTGATGGGGGCTGAGATGGTAGAAGGGGGTGTGGACGTGCTGTTGCTTTGACGTAAGAGCTCTGGTATGCTGGATAGATAGGAGGCATAGATTAATGTGTAAGCCTGGTTGGTTATTCAGATCTGTTAAAGTGTGCTTGCCAGAGATAAAGCTGGTGGGAATCCAGTCTTGCACTCGTACAAGTCATAATGTTGAAGGGCAAGTCCAAGCTATTATGTGTCAAACATTACAGACCGCATCTAGTAAATCTGATCATTTAGCCTACTAGAGCTTTCACCATACCCAGTATGAAATGATGTTCTGAACATAAATTTGATGTCAATTTATATTGTTCAGAACTCTACCATACCCGATGAGGTGCGGGACACCAGATACCTTAGACTTGACTTGTATTGACTAAATATTATTACACTTGCAGTAGACCAAAAACATGTACAGTTAATGACTAAATTATTCTTAACCCTTGTAAATTTGATGTTTTTTTTGTTACTCAAGAATAAACTGTGGACTGGTTGAATTACGCATTAGTTGACTACTTCTAGATATAATTTTGAATATGTCACATTCTCAAGAAACATAAATAAGGACAGAATCAATTTTTATACACTGAAAAATTATAAAATTTGGTAGGGGTATAAATAATTCAGTTTGTTATTAAACTGTATATATAACACTTGTTGAAGACCATAGTAATGCTCTTTTCCAAAACAAAAAGCAAAATCAACTCCTTTCAATAAGAACTAAATGTTTAATACTCGGAATTCACATAGAACCCATCCAAGCTTTTAAATCATCCATTTTGTTTCTGATTTTGTATGAATACCATATATACGAGTATGCATATGAGAGCATGTGGTATCATTAATTTTTGTTAATATAGATTTGGGGATTAAAATAAACCCTTTCCATCATGCTAGTATAATGAACTCATCATATCACATGATGATTAAATACTACATGTATGCACATCTCACGGTGTAAAGTATGAATGTGCTCCACAGCAAATCTTCATGCAAAAAATATCTGAACGAGCAAAATCCCATATCTAGGTGTACTCTGTAAAGGAGTAATTATTCCTCAAAAAGTAAACTTGAAATAATTACAGTTTCTCTGCCTACATACTTCAGAAAAATAGATCAAGTATATAAAAGGTATTGGATCTCATTTTAGTTTTTAAATACCCACCTATCATTGTTGCTGATGGAAACTATTAAGTGCCTGTAATTGCTGATGGAAACTATTAAGGGCCTGTCACATACAAGTAATACTGATAATGATAACTAGGACTATGACTATATCAGGTATGCAATATAAAAGTCACTGGGTGTATCAGTATGCAATGCACCTAATTAATGCTAATCAGCCTTGAGCAATGATTGTATTGGACCCAATAGCTCTTTCTACATCGACCAATTGTATAGTTTTATCGTTATCACTTTATGCAACTAGCCCTTAACAAAATAAGTAATAAGCTAGGTATCTCATTATCATCATGATGTGCTCACTGGCAATGGAAGTCTATTTCTGGTGATAAAAATACTACAAGAATGACTCATAAAGATGTACGTAAATACACAACACACAGGGTGTCAGTAAGGTATATATATATATATATATATATATATATATATATATATAAATAAAACATTAAACCTTTCAAATCATCATGCTCTTTCATTAGATAGCATGCGATGTATCACTTCTTCAAAATAGGCGGATAACAATCTGACTTTATTGCCATCATAATATGTTGAAAGTAATTTATTCAATACATCTTTATCTTGAATAAGTACTTATCTTATTATTTAGTACAGGTTTCTATGGATAGATGAAGCTAACTCACACAAGCACCTCCCTAGAAATCTATATATATCTCCTATTCACTCACAGTCGTTTAAATTTGTCTTACAAGTGTATACATGTACAATTAAATTTGAGTCTACTACTGAATCATACAAACTCAAATTAAAAAAGATGTGTACTTTCACTTCAATATTCCATGGAATCAACACAGATGAGTGCCCTCATACCAGGCGACTACAGGGAATAAACTGCTACTCATCTTCTACAATCTACAGTGATTTCAGGCTTTAAAGTGCTTGGTGGGATATATAGAGCATATAACTGCAAGAACTTGCTTGAATCAGCAGTCTAAGAAAGGGAAATCAATTTACCAATGAGGCTCGTCCATCATGGTGACTAATTCTGTTTCACTGATTCTGCAAACAGTGACAAAGTCATATTGATGACACCACCCTATTGTCTACATGTAATTGAGCAGTGTTGGGGGTAAAAGCTGTCTCTCTTTCTTGTTGCTCATGGCAACGTGGAGATGAATACAGAATGTAGCTTACTTTGTTTGATTCATGAAACCATGCTCAAGAGTTCTTATCTCTTTGTTTAAGTACTTGAGGTGGTGACATTTTGTTTTTACAGAATGTACATGTTGCTTACTTTGTGTTATTAAAAAGTCTGCTCAATATTTCTAAAATCATTTTTACTGCTTACTTGACCAACAAATATGGCATTCAAGTGATGAAAGTTTGTTCTGTATTTTTGTATTGGTACATATTTTAGGAAGGAACCTTGTTTCAAGTCAGTATCACAAAATGAAATGTTGGAGAAAAATATACCAAAGTCAACTAGCAGTAAAGTCAAAACTCACTGATGGTATTTTACACATCAAACCCATTCCTGATACAGTTAAAATATGAAGCAGATGAAATTTGGAGAGCAAGGTTAAAAAGAAACAGAGAATCAATTACCGGCTCCTGAAAATTTGGTATAACCCTCTGAAAAAGTATTCATTCATCTGCTCATCTTATAGAAAGGATTTAATTAGAAGACACAGACAAATATCAACCTTACTACAAAACAAAGACATAGATTGAAAAAAAGCTTAGTGAACTCTTTATTTATCATGGATCAAAACTGAGAACTGCCATATTATTTGGAATAAATCATACAGATAGAGTGTATGTGCATGAAAAAAGTCTACAGTGGCAGTCCTGCGTTTGTTCCATTGGTCGACCCAAAGCTGGTAGGGAGTTCAGAGGGAAGTTATGGCTGTTTTGTCAATAAGGACAACTGGTTCAGCTCAGGAGTAATGATAAAATATTGTTAATGCAGGAATTGACACAACCACGCGCCCAGGACACATGGGTGCCTAAAAATATAAGTTTGGACACCTAAAATTTTGGGATTTTTTTTACATAGGGCTTTATATGCAAGCACACTTTACATATTAAATCTGCACCCCTTCCAAAAAAGTTAGTGAGAAGCCCTGGTTAACGAGAAACATTATTAGACAGAATTTAATTGTACCAATATTGATATCTAACCTTTTTCTGATGTCATATTTTCCCACCGATGCATCCTGATATAGATCACCCATAATGGTGCTAACGGATCCCTTGGCCTTGCCTACTTCCTCATAGAACGTTGACTCTGCTGCCGACAAGAGCTGGAAGGTGTTGGCGTAGAACGGAATGCGACTGCAAATAAAATGTCATAAAATTTTAGTTTCTAATGCAGCCAAAGCTTCGTTTGATCTCTGCCATGTCAGTTCCACGTTATTTCTTAAAACAATACTAGCAAGGCGACTTTAGGAATGTCCCAAACAAACTAATGATCATTTTCTTACAGGAATCTCATATTTTGAATTGTTTGAAATTAGTGGGAATTTTACTTTCATTATGTGTGATTTAAAGATAAAGACCAGTTATGGTCATGCTATTGCATTGTGAAAGAAACGTTGTGGAATCAATCAGAATAGGTTGAGCATCTAGCATATAAGTATTGGTGTGTACTGCAAGGTTCTGGAATCATCAAAATGATAAGAAATTTGGCCCAGTCTTGATGAATACAAGCACTGTACACAGAAAGATGTATATGGGATTATGCAACACGTGCACGATATCTATCAGGCCCAAATAGATATAATATTTTACCAAATATATCAATTAGTAGGCGGTTTCTCAGCAAAATTTGTATCATTACGTATTAGTCAAAACATATTCGTTCACATGATTGGTAATAAGAACTTCCATTCCCTTTTTTGAGAGGGGGGGGGGGGGCGTTTCCAAAACTGGTCTTTACCTTTAAGTTATGCATCACACTTGTGTTTGTAAAGCTTTACATCACAGACCTAGATTATTAACTGAACTACATGAACTCTGGTGTCAATCTCATCCTCTGTCACATTTCCGAAACACCCTGCAAAAGATACGCCTCTCCCCAATATCTGAAATTTTCCTTGCTTTTAAAGATCATTCTATCCTTTACTTTATTGGGGAGGCCCCAGGGCTGTGACAATATGAGAGAGGAACTAGCAAATCAAGCATGTATTACATGATCCCGACTTATGGACTTGAAACTTGGCACAGTTGTGGATGGGAGGGGTGAGTAATCGACAGAGAATCCTGGGGAATACTACTGAAATGAGCAATACCTGTCAAATAACGAGGGTAGCTCTTCATGGAGATCTGAGTTGAGCTCCTCGTAAAGCTTTCTCGCTTCGTTGTATGCCTCTTGTGTCTGCAAGGGGATCAAATGACATTGTTAGTAACTTTAGACATGCATCCATTTTCAGGAGGATAACCATCAATCCTGACATTATTAATGTACATGAACATATACATGCACTTACATATAAAGAAAAACTTTACAAGGGATTTTAAGTACTGGAAAGTAAACACATTGTAAATAACAAGGATTGGAGTGCAAATGTATCTTTTTCTGGGTAAATTAGTGTAGGAAATTGGCATACAGTCTTCTCAATGTTCGCAGACTATGTTTAATCGTTGTTTACAATGAATCACTATTGTTAACACAAGTGTACATGTCAAATGTATGAAAACAACACCCCTAAAGAAGGACAAAAGCAATAGGACAAATATTTTTTTTCTGTTAAAGGTAAAGACCAGTATTGGAAACGCCCCAATTTAAAAAAATGTAATGGAAGCTCTCATTACCAATCATGTGAAAGAATATGTTTTGACTAATACATGATGATAAAAAATTTGCCAGGAAACTGCCTAATAATTCATATATTTGGTAAATTTGTTTCTCTCATGGTCTGTGAGAGATATAGGGTAGTCCCATATACATCTTTCTGTGTATAGTGCTTGTAACTTTACGAAAAATGGGCAAAATTTCTTATCATTTTGATGATTCCAGAAGCTTGCAGATGCTAGATGCTAGATGATCAACCTTTTCGGATCGATTCCACAACGTTTCTTTCACAATGCAATCGCATGACCATAAACTGGTCTTTACCTTTAAACCCAAAGGCATACCAGTTGTTCAACCATGTACTAATGTGAACATATATGCATTCAGGTACTACACTCAATAGTATACATGTTGCATGCTAAATGTATCCATGGACATTCCCCTTCTTTCTTACCTTAATATATTTTTGATCGTCTTTCTTCTTGGAAGCCTCTAGATTATGCCTTGCGCTGTCATAATCTATTAATTTCCTGCCTCTCTTCTCCATCCGTTTCTGGAATTAAAGGAACAAATTGGGATTATCGTCAGATTATAGTATTTGATAGACAAACTTAAATGTCTTTGATATAATACTTTGGGGAAGTCTATGCAATGAAATACCCCTTCTCAAGAGCTAGTAAACACTGTGTCTTGATAATATACTACATGCATATATATACATTTACACTGTATGCTAGTATGGTATATTACATATTCATACAGTCTGCACATTTGAGAATATTATGATGAAAAGTGATTTCAACTGTAAACAATAAAATAAAATAAAATGAGGACAAAAAAAACAACCTGAAACTGCGTTGTATTAAAAAAAAATATGGGGATTTATGTATAATTTTTTTTTAAAGAGAGATAGAGAGAGAGAGAGAGAGGGGGGGGGGGGGAGAAAGAGAGAGAGATCAAATGAAGGTCTCATAAACAGATGTGTACTCCCACATATACAGTATGTGATAAAAGAAGGAATTTAGAAAGCAATTACACAATGCCATATCAACAATATCAAGTCAGTATGTGCATGAATCAATGCTTCTCTGACACAAACAAAGTCTATTGTGTATATATGAAACAACAAAGACATTTTTTCGACCTGAATATGTCTAGATTTACAGGCTGTGTGTTTATTACAGTGTACATTGATGTTTTGAACAAAATTATTAGGGCATCTAGACATTTCATGTTTTGAAGGTACGATGTGCACTTTATGCATCCACTGTATTGACAATGAAGTATGTATAAGGTTGGGTTCCACAGTACATTGTCAATGTTCAGCGATGTACATGTATGTTTCAACTTTCAAGAGGTCATTACAAGAGATAATGAGTGTGTATACCCGGTACACACAAGACACAATTCATCTGTTGAGAACTAGAAGGGTGTTTACTCATATAATTTTTTACAGTTAATGCCCTTCTGACAATGGTATGTAGACCAGGGGAGTGTTTCACAAAGATCCTAAGTTGAACTTATCTCTAAGTTTGAACTTAACAATTATGGAAAGCCGTTAGCATCATTGAAAATATTTTGTAAAAGTTATTTCAAAAGGCATACAATTGTGATTCAAATCATTCATATTTTCAATTATCAAGGAGATTACAAGTTCTTGATGTGGAATTTATGAAAATTCTAAAATACTTCAATTTTCACTTTTGGAAATATTTAAGTTTAATGCTACAAATGGCTCTCCATATTTTTTAAATCTAACTTAGAGTTAAGTTCCACTTAAAATCTTTGTGAAGCACCCCCCAGTTCATGTTTGGTTGGTCAACAGCCATCCAGCGAAAACATTTAAATTTCCCTTCATGTATACAATGTAAATGTACATGTACATACATGTTAAACCCATTGTCTATGAGAATGAGTGAGTTTAGTATACAATATTGTTAACAATGTATTTGAGAGGAATAGCAACACTGTCGATCAAGTTTCGAATATTTATTCTATATGTACATTACATGCACTTGACACTGCCTGTCTGAAAAGAGGAAGGAGACAAACGTGAATGTGCCGATATTCCGACAGCTGTCAACCTCAAGTAGTGAGTCACATACATGTACATACCAGCTTACAAGTCACTTGGCATTTTAAAGAAGAGTCTCCAAATCAGATTTTCAATAAAACTTCAAGTACTTGCAGCATTACAATACCTAATCTCATATTACCATTATCATGGGTTGTTGATTTATGAATGTATTGTATATTTCAAAATGACAAGTCTCACACTATTGTAAATCAAATTAATGAAGAAATGTGGGATTCAGATAAATCATATGGTGCAGGCCATAATCTACGATGGGGGATTGTGTGTCTGTACGCTTAACAAAAATAAAGCCTTCTCTTTTACAGATTGAACGAAAGTATGCATCAAATACAGTAGAACTTTCCATCATGCATGTTGTCTTTTATAAGATTGTCCAACATACATGTACATGTAAGTCTTAAAAGAGTTATGAAATTAAAATTCTTCAAGTTAATGTTTTGAAATCAAAGGTCCAGATAAACACCTTTCCAGACACACAACATGTTTACTGTACATTGAAAAAATTGGTCAATGTTGAGAAAAATAACTACATGAGCACATGGTGAAGTACTAGTATATTGTCATTCTACTGGCACACAAATTTGTTTTGACAGGTAGTGCAATCTTTCCTGCATACCTGGAAAATGTTTTAATTGTTCCATAAGAACAACAAATGCAGGAGCACAGAATAAATCATTTACTACAATGTATACATGTACATGCTAGGAAAGCTATAGCAGGAAGTTTGCCCAACAACAGGAGAAAAGGGGAAGTCAGTAAAGACTGTACACTTCCTTCAACAACAAAAATTGTATGATTGTCAAATGTCATCATCTAAAAATTGCACTGATATTTGAACCAAGCTGAAAGTGACAATTGTTTTTTTTCCTTCTCAATTGAGGCTTCACTGAAGAGTTCACTGACAACTTATTTTTGCAATGTTCATCAATACACCTACAATTTACATATATTGCACAACAACATGTTCAGACTTAACCAGTGCTGATCACAACTTTTTCATTTACTGCCATCTGTCATTTAATGATTCAAGCATACTGCAATTGTGAGTATATTTCAAGGACCATTGGACTCATATCTGACTAGTATGACGTCAAAAAGATTCAATAGGGACGGTTGGATAAGACTGATATGACTAATCAATTAATGAATCAGACATCACGTTATCTCAAGTTGTGACGATCACAGATTAATGTTTGATACGTGTTTTGATTAAACATCAGTTAAGACAATTCAACTTTAGGCTGTTATTTTATTATACTTGTATGTATTATGATAAATTATATATTGTGCCTGATCTTTACTAGCACAAACTGATAAATGAACAAACAAATAACTTGTACCTTGTATATATACAGACCTGCTACCGGTATACCTAAAAATTGCTTTAGAATGAATTAAGACAGAAGACAATGCCCATATTTTGTTTTAGAATGAGAGATGTTTACCTTTACTTCAGGAAACTTTGCTTGGTAGGACACGAGGGGGTTCATAATCTGGTCAATTAATTTCCTCTGGTAGTCATCCCATAGAAGGTCCAAAGTCTGAAAAATAAATCAAATATCATTGGATCATTTTTGTTTATAAGAAGAGAAAAAGTGCAGACATTCACTCAGGCAGTTAATAGGGATATCTGTGGGTTCCATACCATGAGCAGGATATACATTAAAGAAAAGGACAGAAAATGCAGAAATAAGGCTAAGACTGATATAGTGGTACAATATAAGCAATCAGAGATCACAACAATAAAGGATTATCAACTTTTAAAAAAAAACCCTAGACATTCAAACATTTAGTTTGTGATGCAAACTTTCACCAACAAAAATTCCCCCGAGGACATTACTACATGTACATGTACATGTACATGTATAACTTCTTGAAAAATAAAAAATAAAAACAAAACAAAACAAAAAACGGACGAGACAGATCACTTAATTGTATTTGATCCCATCTTCTAAATGTATTAATCTGGCTGGAGACAACATGTAACAAATTACATTTTAAAACATTTGTTTTAAATTCATACATCATTTAAACTTTCTTGTTTCTTTACCGTATTACAATATACATCTATTGATTTCAATCTATTCTTTCCCTGAATCATTATACACATTGTACTGATCTACAGAAACTTGGCTTTAGTTTCCATTGCAATTATCTTTGCAAATCTCTTTATTCACTTGCTAAAATCAACCTAATTTGTTAAGCGTTCCAATCAAATTTGTTCTCATGCCAAGAGAGTGTTGCTGATTATGAATAGAATAAATGACCACCTGTCTATAAAGAATAAGCAATCTTTTACCCCAAAAATGTAGCAATGGTGTAGCAACCAATCAAATCTATGATTTCTATCAATCTGCCTGTCTGTCTGTCTGTCTGTCTCTCTCTCTCTCTCTCTCTCTCTCTCTCTCTCTCTCTCTCTCTCCTTATCTGCCTAAATGATTTATCTATCTTTATGTACTGTATGTATCTATCTACACGTTTCTCTCTGTATGTTTGTCTGTCAACTCTCTCTCTCTCTCTCTCTCTCTCTCTTTCTTTCTTTTCACTCTCTACTCTATCTATCTGTGTTTGTCTATCTGTCTGTCTTAACTATCTCTATCTATCTATCTATCTATCAATGATAATCTATATATCTATTAATCTATTTCTGTCTATCATTCTGTCTATATGTATCTATCGAGACATAGATATTTACATTTTGTCTGTCCATTAATCAACATGTATCTATCTACAATACATGCATGTTCATCCATGAAATATGAATAGAGAGATTAAATGGATTTGCATTCATTGCTCTGTAGAAGACACCTGTTGACTGCACACTCAGAGGGTGCATTACTGCTGTGATTAGGGAAAGAAGCCAATATGACTGGCTGTCATTGGCTGTCAGCTATTGTGAGAGGCCTCCAACATACTATACTTCAAAGATGACAGATGAGCTCAAACTTTCAACAAGCATGTTCTTTAGACTGAGGATACAATTGAATACCGGTACATGCATGTACATGGTCATGACGATGTCATTGCATGCCAAAACAAGGATATTCTAACTCATAGGCTCATCTGTTTTTAGCACATTGTACCAGCAGAAATTATATGAATATTTGTCAACAACATATTGTCTGTCATCATTTATGACATTGTTTATTACCAAATTGCCTGCGTTAATATAGACCGGCAAGCATTTTAGTGTCTATACTGATACATTTGACATATTTCCAACTTTTCTTTTCTATACAGACATTAAACAATGTACTGGTTTTTCAAAAAAATACAGGAATATATATGTATGCGAATTCAGCTGTTTGAGAATCACTCTTTACTCTAATTTAATGTGTCATATTGCCCAATTCTATTCCAAACTGAATTATTTGTGCTCTAAAATTTGACTACCGTACCTGAAAATTGAATTGTTGATCTCTTTTTTCTGATTAAAAGATTCGCTTTAACATTGGAGTCTCTCTAGTTTTGGTCATTTGATTTAATTGTGGTTTATTTTATTTTTAATCATATTTTAGCTGAATTTCCCGCAACCTTGATGGGGACCTACAAAAATAATACATTGATAAATATCAAGATGCTCTGTTAAAACTTGCAAAGGCTAAAAACAAGGGTCACAAAGCTTGTAGGCAACAAAGATAGTGTACACGGAAAGGATTTTTTTTGCACATATATCACAGCGTGAGCATAAACGCCAATCATTAAATTAAATTTGAATTTTCTATGCAGGCTAATACTGATTTGCATTGATTATTCACACCAATAATAATTCATGATGTAATGCATGCATGCTATTTCCTCTAAATACTCCTTTCCTGTACTACATGTACATTGTAGTACTTGAGCTCAATTTCTGAAGGTCAAATCTGGATGATGAATGAAATGGAGTGTAAAGCTGACACGTGATTGAAGGGCATTCATGGTGTATAGTATGGCAATATTATGCTCCATAACAACTGCATATCACATGTGCATCACCAATCAAAAGGTGGAAGTGGCTGATGTAAATTACGGTATGGCAAGTCCATAATTTGTTGGAAGGGGGCAATCTATGAACAAATTATAAATTGCAGGCTCCGTGTAAATTTCTTGAACAGGCACATAAAAACATCTGCAAAAAAAGGTTTCTCACCTCTTTCCTCTCCTTTAGTGTCTACACAAGCCTTCCCTTTCTTTTTCATAATTTTCCAGGGGGAAGGGGGGAGGGGGTAGGAGACTTCAACCAACTCTCTGAACCCCTTTCTGATCTCCCTTGCTCATCACAAAGTTTCACCCCTCCTCTCTTCTCTACTAGTCATTCTGTTTCTTTTCTGTCATTTTTTCAACATTAAAAGTGGAAGAAGTTTCATCTAATCCTTAAAAGTTTGAACCCCTTTCTAGAAACAAATTGAGGCTAGCCAGTAGCAACAAAGTTTCTATCCTTTCGCTCTTTCTCTATTCAGACACTCCTTTTCTTTTTCATCATTTTGCACAAAAAAGTAGGATAGGCTCCATCGAACCCTCCCTTTGAACCCCTTTTCTGATCTCCCATGCTAGCCACAAAGTTTCAGAATGAATCTGGGTCCAGCTCAGCTCAGGAAACATGTGTCATTCATGTATAAATAATTTCTCTCCTATCTGTTCTCGCTCGTAATGACACAAACAATGCAATATGATTGAGGGAGAGTCGGTGTAGGGAACATGTAGGTGTTATGTATATGCTAGAAATGCTATTAGTACTAATTGATTTGGAAAGCTTTGTAGGGTTGGCTTGGTCGGGCAAATGCCAACAGGAAGATGACGACGTCTACAAAAAATGTCAGTTAGTGCATTAATGTCAGCACATTCTTTGGTGTTTTTTAAACTTTTCTTTAGCCCACTCTCTCTTTATTTCCTCATCCATATGTTTTTGATTTGAATCAAATTTATGTACTGAAATGGTGACATTCAAAGAGTAATTGGAGGTCTTTTTAAAGACAAAAAAGTTAATATTATTTTTAAGATGACCAAGCTATATTTTCCAAATCATTTTATGTCGACCAATGTGACTTTAATACAAAATAAATAAACAGATTACCACATTCATCATAATGATGCTGCAAGGGATTACAGGGTATATAAGGTTACAATTATAATGACAAAACGGACATTCATTTTGACATAGAAGTAACTTTTGTGATTTTGTTATGTTGTGTTATGGAACTTTTAAATTTTTCAGTATATCTGTTCATAAATTCAAGCCATTAATAAAAGAAAAAAAAGAAAAAGAAAAACTGTTACAAGTGTGAATAGTTAATCTAAATATCAGTAACAACCCCATACATTTGTCAAGTTTGATCATTTGAATGCTCAAACAATGCAATAAGGAATGAGAGACAAGTAACTTGCAATATCTCTCTAACATATCAAGTTTTCTCTTTGTATATAATATACAATACATTTTTTGTTACAGGGAACCAACATACAGTTGTGTAACAAGCAAAAGACATGTATCATAAGGCGACTGGTACCCTTTAAAGATTAAAGTTGAGTTCTGGTCATGCGATTGCATTGTGAAAGAAACGGTGTGGAATCGACCAGAAAAGGTTGAACATCTATAGCATATACTGCAAGGTTCTGGAATCATCAAAATGATAAGAAATTTGGCCAAGTCTTGGTAAAGATACAAACACTGTACACAGAAAGATGTATATGGGACTACACGAACACGTGGCGTAAAAATCCTACCCTGGATGTTTACGATGTTACATGACATATTTAGAATATGAAGGCATTTGAAGAACCATGCTTTTCAGGGAACATGTCTTATCTGATGTTCTTCCACACTTGCATAATAAGAATGATAACGCTCACAAATTATTTTTCACCTCTTCCCAGAACTCAACCTTCTCTTTAAGAACTTGATGGACCCTGGAATGGAGATATGCGAATGAATACCCACCTCTCTGACACTAGCCAGTTGTTCTTGTCCCTGCCATTCTGATTCATATGTTGACTCCATTGCTTCAAATAGGCATTTGCTTGCTTGACTCATGGCTGTATTAAACAGGGGGAGAGATGAATAGGGAAAGAGGATGGGTGATTGGTTTTGCAGAGAACAGGGTGTATCATAAAAAAGAATAGCAGGGGAAAAAACAAAGAAAGGAAAGAGGATAGATAGAAACAGAAGGATTACAGAGACAGAGAAAGGGAAAAAAATAAAGAAGTGTAAGTATAAAATGAACATACATGTCAAATCAAATGATTGTTTTTAATAAAGATTTACAGTGCATTTCTCTGTAGACTATTCACATTTACCTGCAAGCTTATATCAAATTTTCATTTAAAATTCATTCAATTTTATTGAATTTAAAAGAAATCATAGAAAATTTACATGATGTTGGTAGTTGGATATTCAAAGATAAAAAACAGGGAATTTACCCCTTGCTGCTCATAATAAAAATAGTAAACACACATGTAAATACAGTGATGTCATGTCATGAACATTACACTGTACATGAATCCTTTGGATACAGGGAATGATTGCCTATAGATGCCATTATTCACTGTCATCAACAATCATATCATCAGCCTTCATTGATTGCATAACAAGTGCAACGTGATAATCACAAACAAAGAATGTCAGATATGCCATGTAGGCCATCAACAAGTCTGTAATCTCATATGGTCATTATCAGATTAAATGGTTTCAATGAAGTCATATCTGGGTGTTATGATCCCATTGGATCTCCCTACTTGGATAGAGGCCAAATACTATGACAAATGCTACATGATCATACAAGACATCCCCTAAATGAAAATCCCACTTGGGTGTACTTACTGTACACTCTTTATTAACAAGTAAAATGGTTTCAACTTTCAAGGTGTAGACATTACAAATAAGTAACACAAATATTAGTATGTCATCACACGAGACAGCCCCAAAGCCCATTTGGGTGTACTTACAAATCTACATCTTCATGTACTGTCAACTCTTTTTTGGTACATTGAGAGCTACTTTTAAGCTGAAGTATTGATACAAATGAACAACATAGATGTATCAAATATTTTGAATGCTAGTACTAAATGAATTTCATTATACATGAACACTGTAATGTACAAGAAATTCCCAGTTAGGCTGTTTAATACAAGGTTTCATAAATCCAAGTAAAATGTACATGTACATACAGAAAAATACAAAATTGTACATGTACATCAAAAAGATCTTTTTTAAACCATTTTGGGGGAGGAGAAAGTGAACAGTTGATTATTTTAACCGTATGCTAAGAAAACGTGTCAGTAAGCAATCACCGGGGACCAACGATACTAAGCCTTCTCTGAGGGGTAATGAGGACTAATGCCTTCCCGAAAGAAACTAGCGAATCTACATGTACTTGGTATTGAACCCTGGTCCTCCCAGTTATGAGACCATTGCTCTACCTACCACAGGGCCATCTCACCTACTCAGCAAAAACTCTTGAGAAAGCCTTCTTGGTTACATCTCCTTTATAAAATATCAGTTAGAGCTCCAAGGAGGAGGGGGGGGGGGTTGGGAGGAGGAGGGGGATGAGGAGAGAGAGAGAGGAAGTGAGTGAAGACACAGTTACTACTAACCTTTTACACATGTCACATAATTCTTGAGCTCCTTGAACAATCTGTTGGCAGCAGCTTGTTGTGAAGTGAAATTCTGTACATAGTGTTCAAATAATTCATCCCTTGTCTCATCTGCTTTCCCTAACTTCTGTAGGACCTGTATCAGTAAAGAAAGAGAAAACACATTACATACAAAATTAACTTTCAGTTTTTCAAGAGTACATACATATATTAAAACTGAAGTAAAGCCTAATAGACGTTGTGTTTTGTAAAAAGTAGTGTGGCATGGGTTTACTCCTCCTCTTGAGCAAGGGCTCATACCAGACTGATTTTTTTTCTGACGTGTTCAATTTATAAAGGTTGGGCCAGAATCAAGTTAACTTTAATCTTCCAATATGAATATTTTGCATTTAAATGAACATGTAAACTTTTTACTGTTCAGTTCTTTAGGACAATATACTTGTAATTCCTTTACCGTATTCAGTTAGACAATACAGTGGATTCACAATTCACAGCCATCTAGCGACACTCTCACACCAGTGTTTAGTCAATTTCACATGATGCAATACCGGTATTGACAAAGTCAACAAAAATACCAGCTGGGGCATTACCCTAGGACAGGGTTTCTTACAGTTCAGACAGTGGGGTACATGTATGTCAATTAAAAACGAAAACAAAATTGCCAAACTGTGTGCGTCCAAAATGAAAGTTTCCCTACAATTCATGTCCTGTACATAATGCAGAATTGTCACTTCACGGATATGTGAATAGCTAATTAGTAATCAATTAACCATTGAGACATATTTTGTGGACCTATTCTTTATGTCAATCTCTATCAATATGCAAAGGTTAAGAACTTTTCTTCATTTTGTGACCGAGATTTCTAGGGGGTACCCCCCCCCCCCCTCCCTTGGCTGAGAGAGTACCATAATAACCCAGTCTTTTTCAGGGATGAGACAGGGAAATTCCCCAAAAGGAGATAGATTAATTTGGGGTCCGGGGGCAACCACTTTGGTCAATTTGATCGGTGGCTACAAACGTAGTTTTTGCAACGCTGCACTGGTTGAAAGATGTCTACCTGCAAGCTGAAAAATTGGCCTGCCGTGGCTTGCCAATGGGGGTACTGGTATTGATAATTATGGATCCACCCTACATGTATTTTCAATGAAACACAGAGTTCACACTAAAACTGGGTCTGAATCCATATAACCTTGTCACAGCATATTTCTCGTTACCAGGCTTAACTTACAATGAATTACCATGAGTTTTAGGAGGAAATATCCAATTCCAGTCTTGTTGAAGTGAAGTGGCATTTGTGTCAAGCACTGATTAACATCATCAGCGTCAAATTCATACTAATCATCTATTGACCTACATCAGGCATATATTTTGACCTAGTCTAAGAGCACAGACTTTGTCTGCAAATACTTCCATAGAATTTCAAATAACCAGCAAGATGCTCTAAGCTCTAAGCTCTAAGATCTAAGAAATTTAACAAAATACCATCCATTGAAAAAAGGTAGGTATACAATCAGAACATAAATCAGTAAATGCTTGATTTTACTGTGCACAAGTCAACATAAATACCTGTAGGAATATACATGTACAGGTATATTCATATTCTTGTATGAAGTGCAAAAGTTCAAGGTAATGACTCATCTTCCAGAATAGTAAATAGCACATCCCCATGACTAAAAGCTGCTAAACAGTGTACATACATGTACATGTACATGTATACATTGTACATGTACATCTACATGTAATAGGCCTGCTGACTACCGGAAGTTGGAAGAGCCTGCATGTTCTTGTTTTTTTTAAATATTTGAACAGGTACATGTATGTGTAATGCATACACATGTACATGTACATGCTGTCAATCAACCTCGTCATCTTCAGAAACTACCATATTTTACAGGACACTTTTAACAGAGCTACATGTACACGTACATGTACAGTTGTACAATGTAGACATGAATACTCTTACACATCACATGAAAGTTTGTGGTTTTATGGAAGACTTTGGGACAGATTCATCCAAGAAACTGGTCATCACTTCCCAGTGACCTTATGAACCTAACCACTGTCCTCATAGACAATATAACCCATAGGATATATATTAATATTGTGGTTTCACAAAGCTGCCTGAATGTACATGTAGAGAGAATACACATTATGAAACTCTCTACATATTATTTATTGATTTACAGTACCTTTCAACATTGTGTATAATACATAAACCCATTTACATTGCAGAAAAAACAATTAGAAATACGGTATACCATTGTTATTTTTAACTACCATTTACACTAGTTACTGGAAAAACTCATAAAACCCATCAAACGAGTTTAATAAGTCTGAGTTTTTGTTGTGTGAATTCAGTGCACATACGCCATTTGTTGCTGCCCTGCATGCATTAGCACGGAAGCGAGGAGAGTCGGTTGACCAAACACCGGAATAACTCACTGGTGTTTTGAGAGCAAGCATTTACACTGCAAAAGTACCAGTGGAGTTTCAGCCAGCGTGTTAAACAACCAGACAGGGAAAGTGGGGTTTTTCGATTTGGACATTTTGTTGTCATGTTGTGTTTATGGGTGGTTGCCTAGCAACTTAAGATGAAACTCTGGAATGTGAGAATAACAAACACTGGGTACTTTTATATTCTATTGTATCAAATATCATTTGCAAATATTAGTATGTCATTATACAAGATAGCCCCCAAAGCCATTACACAAGATAGCCCCCAAAGCCCACTTGGGTTGTGAGAAAAAAATGATATTTTTGCTTGCAATTGCTCAGGACTGACAATCAGATTTAATCATGAAACTGTTTTTATTTATTTATTAAGCAGTTTATATCCTTGTACATTGTACATGTACATGTACATTGTAGCTACTTTAAATGAACACAGGAATTTGGATTTTCAGATTGCTGCAAGTCATAGCAGTATGGAAAAGAAAAATAAACTAACAGAAAACACACTTAAGGATTTGAACTTTGAGAAAATGTGGCAAGAGGGATTTTTCTATTTGATTTCCCCCTATTACTTCATTTATGAACTTCAGGAACAAAGGCTTTGATCTTGATTTATGATCAGATATCAAACTAATGACACTTAATCTTTTGATGCTTATTACCCCCTTAAGTGCTAATAGCATGTCTCTACATGAATAGCATTTGAACATGTAAGTCTACATGCATGAAGAATTATTTTTGTGTAGATCAAAAGGCAACCAGTGAAAACTAAAAAAAAAAATAATAATAAGGTACTACCATGACAACAATAATTCATGTCTATACTCATTATACCTTGTTTATTTAATAGGCCCCCATATCTATATTATTTGACTAATCAATGCCAATATGTACTACAGATTTACGTAGAATTAAAAAAGTTTTTATTGTATAGACCTGCCTGTATAACGGATTAGACCATGACACAAGTTGTGAGATCTCTATCAATTGTATGTATTAAACACAAGAGATTGCCATGGAGATAGCATAGAGCACATCCTGTATAAAACTAATGCCAAATTGTTTGTACTATTTAGTTTTGATTCATCTGTCATTTCTGTCATTACTCACAGGAAGTTTTTGATCATGGGAAAGATTGTAAACAACACTGATTCATGAAGAACTTGGCTTACATGTATACTCAACAGACACAATATCAATTAAAAATGCAAATTACCCTGTACATAAACATGTTAAATGTTTAATCAATGTCTGCTGTAAAGTCTTTGCTCTAAACTTACTCATACCAATGCCAATGCATCTATAGCTTGACAAGCCAGCTCTTGCAACCTGTACAGTGATCTTACAGTGTACATGTACTTTGTTTTGAGAAATTTATTCAAATCAGACTTGTAATTGTCATCTCACATTTGGGCAATTGTTTTCTCCTATTCATGCAGTGAGGTAGTCTCATTTGGAACAATGGCAGAATACCCCAATCAAACAAATGATCCTAAGCCCTATTGTATCCTACAATGAAGTCATATTTTATTAATAAAAAAACTGGATTTTTACTATAAAGAAAATTGTGAACATTTTGCTAGCTAGCTTCTCTCACTCTCAAACTCAAAACTTTATGTTCAGGTAAAACGTGTCAGCCCCCCCCCCCCCCCCCAACAAAAAAGGAATTGTGCCTGTACTGTGTTCACTTCTCACTGTAGAGTCGACTGGATAGCCATACAAATAGACTGATGTTGCAATAATTACCTCAAATATGATTTCATTGACAAGATATCTTTGCAAAGATCTAAGAGCGATGCGCCTCTATTAGTATTAAAGGGGAAGTCCACCCTGATACTAATTTGGTTTTAATAGAAGCAGAATTTGTATCCTGCTTTTTATTAAAACCAACTTAATGACTCCCCCTGACATGACACGTTGTTCTATCTTTAATACCACTGCCAATGCATCTATAGCTTTACAAGCCAGCTCTTGTTACCTGCAAAAAATCACTGGTAAATGTTTCAATCCATGGTCACTGTACATGATGTACATGTACAGTTGTAGGAATATATACATTTTTGTTTTTTTCTGAATGCACAAATGCATATGACAATTAAAGTCCTTAAACAGTCCTAGTCCAAGTGAAGTGCAACTATATTTTCCCCTCAAACTTTAATCACTACAGAATGTAAATCTATGAAGTTTGTGAAATACCCAACAGAAGGCAAATAGGGAGATTTGTAATACGATGGAACACACAGCAACGTGAGCAAACAGCATGGAATTACATGTCATTAAGAAATAAAGATTACTAGATGAAAGTACAGTAAAGAAACAGTTAATTCACAATCAATCATTACACATATGGTGTACATGTACCAAAATGGCACGCATAAGATTTACATGTAGTTTTTGTTTGTTTTTAATTGCTTGATTTTTCAATTCTCCTAATATCACAAGAGAAGGAATTTGTTATTCCCAAAGTTTGGTAATTACAAGAAAATCATGAAATTTGAAGTCATTTTTAAAGGAAAGTGAAAAAGGAAATGTTATCTCAAGTAGCATGTATTTAATATCTGAAAATAAACATCAGTAGTTTAGGTTCACTGTGAAGTACTGTTTAACACTTTCACTTCCCTATTGAAACAATACAAACTTTACAAAGATTGAAGATAAGCCTGAGTTCTGGTAATGATAGAAAGT